GTTTGTTGTATTCCAAAAGCTTTTAAAATAAGGTTGACTAGTACAGCTGCGAGAGTTTTTTTCTTTTTTTTTAGTTCAAATTTTTTCACGCAGTTCCATATGCTAAAGCCTCTGACATGAAAGGGTGAACTACTATTTATGCTCACATTTCCATATTTATATGTACTCCACTTTTAGTGCTTAATGCCTTAGGAAACAATCCATCAATTAGACTTGGAGGCAAAGAGAAAAACTATTGTGGTCTTTAAAAACCGTGGTGGTCTTAAGTCACGTTTAAGTCGTATTCATCATTACCGCCATTAAAGAGGTCACTGATCCTTGTTGATCAGATTTTAAACTGAGGGGAGAAAAGGATGGTAAAAATATCTGGATAAGGTTTAGAAAGTTTTAATAAGAAATAAATAAGGGAGGTTGCAGAATTTTGTGTCTCCCTCATGCAAAGATGGTCTTTTTAGAAGTCACACACTCAAAATACGTATACGCCATGAAATGAATATCCTATTGTCAAAAGTAACAAAGTTAAAAGTTATGGTCAGCACACATTTGGGAGAGTGTATTAACAATAAAGTAAGTCAGGGAAGGGGCGGGGGGGTCAGGAGTTCTAGCTTGAATATGATATATCTTGTTTTGCAACCCCTCCCCCTTCTTCTTTCGGATGGCCGGCCTCCAATCAAGATTATTTTTTTCTGACGTGACAACATTCTTTATAATCCTTTAATTGTTCTTAAAATAAATAGATCATGACGCAAATGACTTGTATAACATTTATAAGCGATCATCCAAGTTCCGTTTGATTCATATCAATACAGTCTTCAGAGTGAGCAATACTGTGCCTTTCCGAGCAAACTCTTCTCAACCGAAGTTTTGAAGAATCGTCGAGGGTGAGTGGCATGAACCGCATTTTTTTCTCCAACAACTTTTGTCAAGGAAAAAAAAATTTCGTTGAACCTTCTTTTCTTCCCTTGTGTTTTTTTCTTCTTAGATCGCGAAATTTTTACGTGAGTACGCATGTAAATTTTACACGCGTAAATACAATAGAAGCTATGTATGGACGGTCACGCTAAACATAAGAGTTAAACCTCGCTCAACTTTCACTTTTACGCGTGGCCTTTCATACTTATTGCCTCTTTTTCATTTACGCACGTAAATTTTACGTGCGTTCGCATGGAAAAACTACGTGACAGTGGAAATCCAGTCCTTATAGACCCAACTCAACTACTAGTAGTTCCCGCCAAATTTAATAAACAGAAGATGTTTAGAAAACTTCCTCTCAAAATGACTAAAAATCGAACTAAATTAAGTGTGTGCTATAACCTTCGTTCAAAAATGTTCTAACAGTGATTTCATGTCTTTCACCAAAATGCTTAGCTTAAGTTAATCTACGGACTGCGCGCGCAAAGTAGGTTCCGCCAAAATTAACAGGAACAAATCTGTAGCTAGTTAACGGTTGTCTGAATCACACCCCAAGATTCACCTCGAGAGAATTTGAGATTTGTTTTATCAGCTAAGGTATACTTAAATCCTATATTAAAATAATGACGCCTTTCATTTAGTTACTATAATTATGTTAAACAAAGTTTTCGTTTACCCAGCGCGAAGACTCTGGATTTCCGCCTAAACACGAGGAAAAATGAAAAGCGAAGTATCAAGAATCAAAGCTGATAGACAACCATGACAATCCTTGTCAACGTTTTGTTCTAAATCAGTAACGCTTCTGATTTCTTTTTTTGAATGTTTTTTTTTTCATACATTTGCTAAACCATTGTAGCTGTAAACCTGATGCATTTCATTGAAACTTCATCATGACGATGATGAAATACGGGTCACTTTGTACTGACCTCTAAATTATTTTTGGCGTTAATTTTTTAATCGAAAGACGGGCTAATTGGTTTGAGGGAAAAAAACTTATGAATCGCCTCAGTGTAATAAACATAACAAGCGGTTATTAAAAGACAGGGTCTTTTATCCTAATCGTTTTGCCCGCGCAAAAATTATTTTGCATAAATTATGCCTAAAAGTGAATGCGTTGCTGGGGGAACAAAAACTGAGTCCCTACCAGGAGCCCACCCCCGCCGCCGAAGCCAAAGTTGGCATGTTTGTTGTTCAGGAAACTTCAGAAGTGTTTACGGGGAGATGGGAGGGGAAAGCTTGGTTTTTTTTCCTTTTTCAAGTCGATGTTATTGGACAAACGTTGGAGCTGTCGTAGGGGACAAAGTGACTCGACCAATTATGACGCCGATTTTTGTAAGGGAAACAGGATGTTTCAAAAATTCGCTTAATACCATAACGTGCGGTACCGGCAAGGGAAATTAATTCTAATTTATGTGGATTCTTTTATTTAACATACTATTAGTGGCTTTACATTTTTGCGTTGTTGTTTGATAACTATTATTACTTGTTTTCATTAGTAGTTGCCGACTCTTGACAAAAACATGTATTGAATAATTATTTGTTCTCTTAGGTCAAGCGAAGCAGGTCTCCTTCGTTGCCATTACACAATCAAAGAATTCCACAGCTAATTAAACGGGGAAAATGCCAACTATTTATCAGAGGCTTAAATGCTTCTGTATTTGGAAGTATTAATTAAACTCGCTCTAAGCCATCTCGCCTGAGTGACTTTGTTAAGCTAACGCAAGAGCCATAATGACTCTTGGCTAACGATAGTGCTATTGGCAACAGGCACCTGTTACAATTGTGATACCGCTTTGCAGTTGATAGAGTTAGCGACCCCGATGAAAATAGACCTCTATGCAAGTGAATAATATTTTATGTTTGATTGTTGTTGTAATGGCACAAGTTACAGTCAAAATGAAAGACTCATATAAACCCCATTCACACCAACGAAACCTCTTTAATTAAGCGGCTTTTAGTAGATGAAATTCAGTACGTCTCCAGCAGCGAGGAGCGAGGAGAAACGGCTCTTTTTGCAGGCTAAATTCATTTGCTCTAACGACAAAACTCAAAACGTTTTTAGTTTGATGTTAACAACGCATTGCCAAAAAAACACACATCGCAACGTTTGAGCAGAATAGCTTGGCTTGTTGCAAACCTTCGATTAATAAAAAGAAATGAAAAGGGCCAAGCCGCACCCCAAACGCAGCCCAGTGGGGTACAACTACGTGCCAAGAATAAGGTGTGGTGCATACGTCGAGCAGGCGGGATACGTTCTTCTCTCCCTAGTTCCTTTCTTATCCACCGTCACTCTTTAAGAATTGAACATGACACTTTCTCTGCTTTCTACCTCTTCCGCTTCAACGTCCTGAGATAACACCTACAGAAAGCAAGAGCAGAAAGCTAAAGGCATTTGTTGTACATTAGGCTTCATCTTTAGAATAGAGAATTTTAATTACTGAATAACAACAAAAAACAGGGGAAAAACGTTTGATTAAATTATAGGTTAATTAAAAGTTTCTCTTAATAGACAGCTACTTTGGCAGTGATTTTAGTGCAACGCTTCGATCCCTTAATGAGGTTATCTGTTGTCCATTCTTCATCACTTGATGAAGATTAAATTGACTTCTTTTAGTCAACTGATAAACTAACCAGCCGTGGGGCAAACCACAAAGAATAGTATGTTTCACTTCATTTTACAGTATTTTCCCTTAGGGCCTGTTTACATGGAGTGGGGGACCCCGGTCCAGTGGGGTTGGTTTCTTTTGTTTTCACGCTCTGGAGGACACAAAACAGAAGAAACCTACCCCACTAGACCGGGGTCCCCCACTCCATGTAAACAGGGTCTTAAAATCATTTTTCTGTTTCAACGTCTCACAGGTATTGAGAAACACAATGCGAAGCCTTCCAGCTGGTTTGTTTCTTGTCGCCTTTTTGACCATCTGTTCCGGTGCCCCTTCTTTTAACCGTGTTGGACGTCCGCGATTTTTCCTGAGAGACGAAAAAGGAAGTGAGTGTTCAATCATAGTTAATTAAAGCGAAATGGTTGGGAAACCCTTTGTTATAGGTTTTTGTTAACGTTTTTGGACCTGACCGTGCACAACGTTCAATAGTATTCCTATCATTTTGAAGTTATTGACCAACAGAAACATTGCATTGATTTATTCAGTCATAATTTATGAACAGAAAACAAAGGATTGTGCACGGTCAGGGAGCTTCCAACATAATCTACAACACCATTATTTTCAACTTTGATGGTTGCTGGGTTTCCTGACCAGTCTCCTCTATTGACCTAACTATGGTTCAATCTATTCTGTAGTTCTTTCTTACTCGTTTTGTTGGTTCCACTGACTAACCTGACTTACGGTGATCGTAAAATATCTCGGCATGCAGGTATGCAGGTATGCAGCTCAAAGTTCGTACCACAGTTATCTAACAAAAGATAACCCTCTGCCGTTTTCCCTAAAATAAAAGGCTAGGACTGTAATGAACACATACTACAGCAACTACAGCAACTACATATACTACACTAACTACACCAACTACACCAACTACACCAACTACTCAGCCTACACCATATACATATACTACACCAACTACACCAACTACCGCAAACATCAACTTTATCATAGTACACTGAGTCATCACTAAACGCGTCTCTATATTCGTGACCGTTATCATGAATCCATTACCTTGCTCATTTTCTTTGCATTTTGTCTACCCAACCTCGTCCCTAGGGCCCAGGGCTTTTCGCTCCTATATTTTAACCCTTTTTAAAGTCCTAATAGTGACCAACATCAATTTTCTCCCAGCAATATCCATATGTTGCCAAGAAAAATGGTTATGAGAGTTAATAAAATGATCAGTGAAGAGAAAATGCTTTGATCTATTATCAAATTCTCTCAACTAATTCTTTAAGGAAATGTATGGAGATCACTTTGGAGAATTTGTAAGTGGATATCGGGGCTTAAAGGGTTAAAGGGAAATCAAAAAGATAGAAATAACAGGAATGTGACAGTAGAAAGCCAGGTTTTCCCAAGGGGCTAATGTGTTTTAAAATTTTCTGAATGTCTGATAATTTGACAATCTGTTTGAATCTTTACTTTAAGCCGCCAAAAACGTGGACATGGAAGCTTGTTTAAAAGCTCATAATCAGCTGCGTGCCGAACACAATGCCCCACCCTTATCTTGAGATACGAAACTCGCTAGTGATGCGCAGGAGTGGGCCAATCACCTTGTCAATCTAGGAAAAATGATGCACGCAACGGGTACTGGTGAAGGCGAAAATCTCTACTGGTCTGCAAGTACTTCAAATATCGCCACTTGCGTAGATGCAGTAAAAGCATGGTAAATGATAACTTATGCTTAAATCCAGATGTTTGAACAAACCTAGCTTGTCCGTGGATCGTTGCTTACCGTTTCTCTTCTTAATTATAGGGCTTCAGAAGAGAAAGACTACCCAGCTGACCATCCACCGCAAACATTTACAGAATTTGCAAATAATGGTAAAGCCATTGGTCACTATACACAGGTTAGACATGTCTTCCTTATATTCCCTTGATAGCCTGCAGTGCACGCGTTTTCTACGGGCGCTCATGTTTTTTTCTCGCGAAAGCGCCATGTTGAAACTCCAAAAGAGCCGTGAGGAGAACTAAGGGCTACTATTTTTACTCTCCCTAAACTTCCTCCGTCATAACATCAAAGATGGCGGTTACAACAGTACGAACATGAACAAGCAGATTGCTCAAAATAATTCGTTTTAGTTTAGGGAGAGTTAGCTACATAATTCCAAAATTTTGAGGGGAATTTTAGACACCAAAAAGAATTTTAGAAAATCTCGGGATTTTAGAAAAAAAAATTGACAAATTTTAGAGCAAATTGAACATTCAGCCGACATTTTGGCAACATTTTACAGGCAAACACGCTGACAAAACGTGTTTTTGTTTTTTGGTATTCCTACCAACCAAGAGAGGGCTCAGAACGCTCATATGCTTCAGCGGTGTCTAGAGCATTATCTACTGGGCACAACAAATCAGCGGTTTTGCGTCATAGTCAACTACACTATACAACTTATCAGCGGTTATTCACCAAAAGGGAACCTCGCTATTAAAAAAAAAACTTTTTTAGAATTTTGGGGAATTTTAGGGAGTTTTTGGAGAATTTTAGACATTTCTAAAAGAATTTTAGATCATTTTTCGGGGAAATTCCCAAAGAATTTTAGGCCGCATTTCGGGAATTATGTAGCCAAGCCTATTTTGGTTTCTTTTTTCCCTTTCCTTTGCCTGTCTGCAACTTACGCTCCGCGTTTACGCTCTCCCCCGAAAAGAAAAAGAACGCCTTGCAGCTTAAATCATATCAAGGTTTTTGAAAAACGATTGCATTGAAGTTTCTCAAAGTGTTCACTGTCAGTGATGATAGGTTGAGCAGGGATAAACAGAAGAAATCAGAAGTATTATATCACACCTAGCCTGCGAAAACATCCGTTTCTCCTCGCTCTTCGTCGCTGGTGACGTTTTGCGCGGAACCTCCCCAGCGGCGAAGAGCGAGGAGAAACGGATGTTTTCGCAGGCTATATCACATCTAGCTTGTTCTCTTATTTGTCCCCCTTCCGCAGGAAGTTTGGAAGGCAACTAAAAAAGTGGGTGTAGCCATTGCGACAAAGAAAGATGGCGTTTTCACCAACACCTACATCGTGGCACGATATTATCCGCCTGGAAACATTCTGGGGAATTTTGGAAGCAACGTTGAGTAGCCTGAAACTGACAATATTTTTCTAGTGAGTATTAATAGTGCCATAGTCTAAACTAGATAAATTGTAGGAGTTTTACTTGGTCTTGGGGCACGAGGGTGGCGCGGTGGTGAGAACACTCGCCTCCCACCAATGTGGTACGGGTTCAAATCCCCGCATTAACGCAATACGTGGGTTGAGTTTGTTATTGGTTCTCTCCTTTGCTCTGAGCGGTTTTTCTCCGGGTACTCCGCTTTCCCCCCTCCTCAGAAACCAACAATTTCATATTCCACCTCGACCAGGAATGGTAAACGAAGAGCCACTATGTGGATGTGCTATAACTAAGTCTAAGTCTTTGTTTAGAGAAGCTATAAGCTTTAAACTGCAAATCAAATAGGAGGAAGAAACGCCTTTTGTTGAAAAAAAATCTTTGTTGCTCCTTCGTACATAATGAGATAAATTTGAAAAAAACAGGCCGCATACGGTTTTTCAAATTTATCCGAATGCGCGATTCGTTTTTTTCCCCTTCTACAGTCAGTTATAGTTTGGGAAGTGCAGATTTTGCCCAAATAGCTTGAACGTCTCTTAATGTCCTTTCTTAGATATGTCATCTTCAGATTGCTATTCGATTTGGTTCTCTTCGTAAATCAGATAATTTCCCTTCATGCTTTAAAACCAATGAACATAGAAGCAACTGATTTGAGGATTCATGTAGGTTATAAAGTTGGCGACTCTTTAAGTGATGCATTACAACTAACGACGACAAAATAACTTTTTCCATTCTTTTTTTTTCCTTAGAACCTAGAGCAACTGAGCTTTCAAAGACGATTATTATCTTATTACTTTAGGAATTATATCAAGATCGTCCACTATAATTAGCATTCTAAGCCGTAAATGCGAAGAAGTTAAAATGCAGTTGCGAAACTAGAAAACCTGAAAAAAAATCGGGGTTTCGGGATTCGAACCCTGACCTCCTCCTAATGCTGATGCAGCGATCTAACCAATTGAGCATTATTGGATTATTCAGGCTTTCTTGTTTCGCAGCTACATAAGATGCCTCTTAACTGCGGTCATCGTCTTTACATTTATTTTTTCATTCCGCGGTTCCAATATATGCCATTCATATATATTCTTTATTTCATATCCAAAGTAATATTAGTGAGTCTTGTTATTTTAGCTGCTCAGCAAAAAGATGGTAAGCACCATTTATGCTGTAATCGTGACAGCAACTTACAAGTTTTTGCCATTAAAGTGGAGTCTGGTTTTTCTTCACGTTTACGAGTTCTTATAATCACACGGATAAAGGGATGATATACTGCCGACATTAAACTTCCCGCTTTGCAAGTAGTGTTTTATCAAGTTTGAAATTCTGATCTGACCCATCGGCAACTGAACCCCGCGTAGGTTGCTCCCAAGTAATAAAATTTTAAGTTGACCGGGAACAATTGTACTGGTTTGCAACTTCAGTAGAAAAAACTGAACAATGACCGCTCTAACAAACAGACAATTTTATTCTCGTGTTTATAACTGAACAATTAAATACGCCTCTCCCTTTCGGGCTGAATTGAATCCTAGATAATTCTTTTGTGGACAGTTGATGTGAATTCTTGGAACTTAAAATACTTTTTATTAAATGTTTTTAAAGCTTTATGGATTGACTGCATGGAAGCACTGCTGACAGGCCAAAACGCCGTGGTTTCCACATCTCCAGACAGTAAAATCGCCCTGAAATAGAACAGTAGAGAAAATAGGCTGTAAAACCTGCAAGGATATGGGAACTGTCCACCCACCCCTACCCTGAGGCAACATTTTGCCCTCAAAGAGCAGCTGGTGTCAACGTGGGGTAGCGTTGGGTTAGGGGAGGAGCTGGAGGAGAGTTGCTCACTCACCCCCTCCCCCTTCACCTCCCTCCCCCGCAACCCAACATTTTGCCCTTAGTGAGAAGAGAGTTTGACTTCTATTTTCTCTCCACAAATCACATTTTATTTTTGTATTATTTTAAGTATTGTAACCGTTTATTCTTTTCTCACTTAGCTTTTCTAGCCCTCGATGCAGGTTAGTTTTGCCTAACCTAAGAATCCATAGAAAGTCGAAAGACCAAAATCATTTGACAATCGAAAGAAGCTTTGACACCAAAACTTACATGTGATTGCCTGCGTCATTCTGGTGCGAGATGACGATCACTATGATGTGACTCAACAACTAGCTAAACAGAGATGGAGTTCTCGAGATAAAAAATGAGGCATTTTTGAAAATTATCCATTGTCGTTCGTGTTATCACTGGGCTGTTTGTATTCTACATGAGTGCTTTATTTCTTGTTTTCATAAAAAAGGAAGCTATTTAAAGCCCTTCCTGATCAAAATATACGAAAACATATTTCTCAAGTTGTGCCTTTACGTTAAGGTTAGGAGTTAGAATATAGTAAGAAAAACGGCTCCTCAGTTGAAAGTCCGTATTTTTCCCTTTAGCTTTGAGACACTTCTTGAAGCTCTAAACACAGTATACGCTGGTTTTGTAAAGACGAAAAGCAAACTTACTGGCAGAGAAGTCGAGTGCCTTTCATTTTTGAGAGGGCATTTTTCATCTTCAATTGGAAGAGCCACGGCAACAAAGCTGTTCAGTTCAGCAAGCGGTGATACTTGACAAGAATGTATCTGCGGGGTGGGCTGGTGAGTAGTCTGTGATGCACAAGGTCGCTGCTTATCATCCGTTGCAGTACTTGACGCATTTGCTCCAGGCCTAACAGTCACTGTCTTATAACATGGTGGAGGCGCTGGGGCTGAACTGCTTAGCGCAAGAAGCGCATAGGCCGCAACGATTTCGTCTCGGGAATATTTCTGTTTGAAATGCGAAACAATCTTATATTGAGTGATTACGGGTACAACAATAAAGCACAGCTGGCCCAAACGTAACGTAAGAATTTGTATGGGTAATAAAACTTAGACAAAACAAATATACAAAAAGGGATAAAAGTCATCAATTAAGTGTAAATTAATATTGTTTCCAATTGACTGACAGACTGGTAACAATATCCACTCACACCTGTATACAGGTTATCAAAGAGAGTAACTCCTTCAGGTCATAGGGTCAGGATTTTGAGGACCGGTCGGCACAACCCCACCAATGATTTCCAGGAGTACCCCCGCTCCCCGCGACCCATATATGGTATCAAACGAAGTAAAAACCTGTGCTTACAGGGGCAGAAAGTATGCTCAAGGTGAACACGGTTCACCATCAGACGACGATCGAATAGTATCCCATGATGCACCTCGATTCATGTTATATTATCACTGCGTACGTGACACATCATGATCAGTAATCTTCAGCACGCGCGAAGTGAACATCGATCGCAGTGCTCGATGTGGATGGTTTCCAAACATGTTTCGGTTCAGCAGCTTCTGCTTTTGAGATTATCGAGTTGGCTTATATTCACTGTGCTTTAAAGGAGAATTTCAGCGTTGCTTTGACTGAGAAGGGTTTTACATGTATTTCACTGATCTGTCGAGAACTACTTGTGCCGCGCTCGGTCGCACTGTAAACACAAATTATAAGACTCGCAATTGATAAGCTTCGCTAGGTTCACTAGGAGAACCAAAACTATGACTGATCTATAAAGTGGTTCCAACAAAACATCCGCAACGCTGTGAAGCTAATTACCAAAGGATAATTTATTACAGCATCGCGCTCAAAGGAGCTGAAGTTTACAATGGCAGTTACAAATAAAATTTAACCTATCGATGCGACAAACAATTCTCTGAAGCACAGTCTACCCGGTACTGACTCAAGCAATCTTCAAGGAAATTTCCTGGCCAGAATACTGATCTGTTCTTTTGAATAAATAAAGTTTCTGCATGATGTTTCTTTTTCAAATTCTGAGCAGGCTTCAGTTTACGTTGTGCCGGCTTGCATGCTGCGTGGTTCCTTTCTTTGGGTTCTTTTCACACTGAAACACACCGTTATACACCGCTCCTTCTTCGAATTAAAATAATTGTAGTCAAATTCCTTTTAAAAATAACCTCTTTGAAAGTACAAAGTGATTGCTTCGGCATAAAGCGCTCTCAAAAGCGCCCAACAGATTGTAGCCTTCATCAGGCTTTACACATATATTATGACACATGGCGTTGAAATGTGATAAAAGATTCGAAATTTCAGCCATCTTTGGTCAACAAAAAAGTCTTCAAAATGTGGGTACTTCTGGGTACTTCTTGGCCTGTACAATATTCAGGACTTCATTTTGCTGGCTTGAGGTCCACATTTGTAAGATTTCAACATATATTCAAAAAAACCTTGAATATTCATGACCTGGTTGTGGGTCACTGAACACTTTGTGATGGGAAGACTAATTGAAACCGTGAAAATAAATGTTTCTAAGTGGAAACTTCGCTCTTAAGCCATTGCAAATAGGAGAAATCATGTGAAATAACGAAATAATGTAATTTGTTTACTTTTACTGGAAATCGAGTGACAAAAAAGCCGACGAGAAAACGACCTTATTTCAAGATGGAATCTGCTATGACTGCGATATTGCGTGATGCTTCTGGAAAAATGCATCATGGGATACTATTCGATCCTCATCTGGTTCACCATAGTAAATTCAATTACTGGTTCGCAAGTTTCTTTAAGCGAACAACCGCTTCAACATGATCCAAGTCTGAATAACTTGTCCACCGCCGTAGCCAGTATGAGGCGAACCGAGGCACTCGCCTCGGTAAAATTTTACCAAATACTGTCGATTTTTATTTTTTTTATCAGACTGATAATATTAAAAGATTTCATACGGCTGATTTCGTACAACGGACCGTGTGTTCGCCTCGGTTGTAGTTTCTTCCTGGCTACGGCCCTGTTGTCTGTCATGTATCAAAGCGTATTGAACATAGGTTATTTCAAATACCTGTTAAACATCCGTTTCCTTTTCTTTCTTTTCCCGCTATATATACTATATATACTCATGAAGGTATGGTGAACCGTTACGGTGAACCGTTGATTCGTGTCATCATCGCTACAGGTCCTACACTATAAATACGGGCCGAAGATAAATTAATTTATTACATAGACACGAGTGTTTTACTAGAAAATACATGTATAACACTCGTAAAATTCATAAAAACTACATCCGGGACCCGAGTGGTTTATTTTCCATAATCTCACACGTGAGTTTTTCGGTGACGTAATTTCTGTAATTCGAAAATAAAATTCATATCTTCGCGCCACTGTGTAATATCCTCTATGTAAACTAACGCAGATAACGAGCGCATTTGGAACTGATCTGTTGATATGACTAACACCCAATACGTATCATACGAATAGAGCTTTCTTAAAAAGCCTTGGAATGTTGTAAAGTGAAGGAAAAATGATTAATTTCCTGTATTAGTTTTCTTTCTTCTTGAAATCCTTAATTTTCACCGGCCAAAATCACTTTCGATTTCGCACCACTAGAGACACTACAGATACCGAGATTAAGTAGTAATTCGGTCACAAAATGTCTAGTGGGGACATTGCGAATGTGGCGAATTTGTGTAAAATCTAAGATAATTATTGCTGTGTCAACTATGCTGCAGTGTGATTAACTCTAAATCTTGTAAAAAGTTTGTTGACTATGATATGACGTTTTTCGGCATCCAGTAAATGCAGTCCCCAAAAGTGGAAATAAGATAAAATAAGTAAAATACATCTTAAAATGTTGGACATAAAGTAAGAGCAAGCTTTATCCTCTCTTGGTTAGAGCCATTCATTGATCTGTGAAAAAGGAACTTTGTACAGGTCAGTTCTCTCACGAAATAGAACGGCCTTTTCAGGCGCTGATTTTAGTAATCATCGGCCTAACACGCGACAAGAAAAGTTTATTTGTGAACTTCTGCGGTGGTTCTCGTGATTTTTGTTTCGTTGTTGTTTTTGTTTCTGTTTTATTGTTTTTGTTATTTCTCTCTTACATGACAGAAAATTTCAATATTAGAAATTTGTCATTTAGTTAGGGAAGTTAGTCAACCTCCTCAGGAAATGATTTCTTCGTTTACACCTGTTATTACTGATAAGAAATTTCTAAAAATGATGAATCATCAAAGGCGCGCATACTTGATTTCCCGCCGAAATAAATTATCGATAAAATTATGCTTGGTTCGAAAAGCTGTAGCCTTTTTCAAACACAGTTATTATGCATAGGGAGCTTTAGCAACGACGACGGCGACGGCAAAGAGGACGTCAAAAAAGCAATAGGTTTATTACGCAAAACAACAACTTTGCACGTGCATCACGCTTTTTTGTACATTTCTTTACCGTCCTTGCGCGACTACGACGTGAAAATGCCTAATTGCAAGTTTTATGGAGGACGTAAACAAGCGACGACGAATCTCTTTTTCTCTCTCTAAACTTGAGTGCGGTCCTCAAGAAATCAACTCCAGGGAAATTCGCCTACACTTGCCATTTTCAGCAAATTGGAATAAACGCGACAAAGATTGAAAAAACGGGACTTCATTTTAAAACTGACGTTTTCGCTACAGTTGCCGTCGTCGATGCTAAAGCTGCCTATGAATTCGAATGCAAAAATTTTTCTTGCTTACTCTGTAGAAATTCTGTTGTGCGCTGTTAATAAGGTTAGTAGACGCCCCAGTGTCCAAAACCTCGTCCCGTCTGCTGTAAACAAAATGCAAGTTAGTAGTAGTATGTGTCCTGAAAATGACAGTGGTAGTGACTGGCGGAAATGATCCGTTTCAATCACAGGACGAAATAACGTGTTTCCGTATTTTGGAAACTCGACGGAAACGGGAAGTTGCTTATATCCGTCACGTTTCCGCCCTGCGGAAACATGGTGATCTAGTTTTCCATGGACGGGACGCGTTTCCGCCATGTTTCCGCGTCGGAAACGAACGATCATGTTTCCGCCACATTTCTGTCATCACATTTCCGTTCTTTCTTGTTTCCGTTACGTTTCAGGTGACGAATTTTTTTCTTTTTTTTTAACCCATGTCCAAGATCGCATGATCAATGTTTCGTAAACTTTGCCTTGGCGTACAATCAAGGTGAATAAAGGTAAATTTACTCTCGAGGTTCTCATGCATTACTCGCGCGCGTTGCATTGATGCAAAGACTGTGAAGTGTGCGAGGTTGCCATTGCTTTCTATTCTAAGTGATAAAAATCGCAGAGCTTAGCAACAGCTTTCAATATTTACCAGATTGATGTTAATCAGTACTAGTACTGGCGTAAAACTAAAATGCTCTTAGACGGAGAAAACAACAGAGAAAACAAGAGAGAATGGGGCCTAGAACAGAGCGGAGTGCTGGTCAGCGGACTTTTCATTTGCTCATGCTCATTACGGTCATTCTTTTTGGCGTCCATTTTGAAAGTGATTTCAACGGCTTCAAATTTGCCAACTTCTATAGGTTCTAGGAGCGTGGAATCGGTATATTTTTGCTTTCTGATGATACCACAAGACATCTAAGGGTTGTTATGTATATTTAGCGACCCATCGGCCTTCAGTAATCGATCGCTTCGCTCGTAAAGCGACTCTTTTCTGACACAGTGGAGCAGAATGTGAGACAAAAACCTCGTGATGCGCAAGTATAATTTGAAAGTTGGAGTGTTTTACCGTGCTAAGGCTATCCAAGGCGGAGGATTGTGATGGAATACCGATAGTAAGACGAGGTAAGCTTAACAGTTTTCCATATTTCATTTTTGTGGTCTGTAGCATTTGAGATAATGCTTGGGAGACATATTTGTTGACACAAAGCTGTGATTGATAAGTACAGTAATTTCCCGAGCAGGAAACTGCGACATAATGAACCTGAATCCTCTTACTAAACAAGGCAAAGCGCTGCACTGTGAGGTCTGTGAAATGATTGTAGAAAAATGGTTAGAGGGTTCCAGTGATTTTGTTACAAATAGTATATGCATGGTGAGTCCTGGGACTCATTTTGTGAATAGTCAAGAGTTCTGGCCTGTCCACATGCACAACCAGTGAGTCCCAGTTAAAAAACAGGGAGTCCTTAATTGAAAATGCTTGGTATGGGCCTTTTAACCAGACAGTTAATCTGGAGACAGATGCCAAAACTTTTTATGACAGTTTACTAAAATGAAAATATAGTCCTATATATTTAAAGCACAAAAAGACTAAAATATTTATATACATCTTTAAACAACAGCTACAGAAATCGCACAAACAGGATATTCTACCAACAAATCTTCAAATCGATCGATCATCCTTTGCATCCTACGGGATGCATGCCATGAATTATTTTGCGTCTTTGGATAATTTTTTGTGTGAGGGACACAAGATGCAGAGGTAACAAAATCACTGGGGTTTGAAACCATTCCAAATAGTGCACCAGTTTAATTTACTGAGAAGGACGGTAACAAATATTGTTGATCGTTTCATATGTCCAGGAAGCCCCTACACAGAGTTTTTTAAACATCGACGACCAAGTATGTATGCTACGGAAATACAAAAACATTTAATCGAAAATCAGGTTGTTGACCTGCAAAGGTTCGATAAGTCATGTATTGACACGTGATTTCGGTTACTCTTGCAAAGAGTTGACAATAGTTCCAAAAGAGAGCTTAATCTAATAATATAATAATGCTTGACTGAGAACGCTCAAGAAAAAGTTGAAGCATATATTTTTTTTCAGTAACTGTGATCCCAGGAATAGGTACTTCTTTGACGAGAACTCGGTGATTAAAACAACTGGGAAGTGAAGTTACTGTTGAGCAAACTTGTGAAGCTCAGTCGTAGTTGACAACTATGTCTTGAAGTTCGCAATTTGATTCCCTAACTTGCTAAGTAATTGGCTACTTCATGATGTAGTACCCAATTTTCCAACGAACTTTGCAACATGGTGTGGTAAATAATGTGAAATCGACTGTAACAGAGTGATCCAGACTTTAAGAGCGCTTTCCATTTGTCGGAACTGGCCAGCCGGACCATTGTCCAACCAGTCGGTTTGATATTGAAATACGCTTTTGCCAAGAGTTTTTGCTGAACAACCATTTCCTTGGTGCATACTACTTAGGATTTGACTGATCTGGCTGGAGAGATTTGATTAAAATGGAAATTCTCATTGCGTTGGGAATGGTTTGGCCGGTCGGTTCTGACAAATGGAAAGCGCCCTAAGTCTTCATTTCAGTGGACAGCAAATCCAGCAGTGGAGTTAAACTAGTAAAACCACTTTTATTTATCCTGTATTACCCTGCAGTTCTATGCAAACATCATATTGACCAGGGGGAAGGAGGGTACTCCTTAAATATGTTCTCTTGAAATCCAAACAATGTTCCCACAACTTGCAAAGCAACCAGCAGATTTGTTTACTGATCATTCCTTGAATATCCACACTCATAGCTCAGCATACATTGTTGTCAGTTAAGATGTTACATGGTTGCGGTGACTGTCACATTTTTTTTAGTTTCTCTTGCATCTTCAATACCAAGAAACAATTACAACATGTGAGAAAAACAAAGAAGCATGATATTTTTGTCAATTATTGACTATATTTTCTCTGTTGGTTCGCCTCTCACTGCTAAAATATTTACTTTAGGAAACACATGTACATGTATATCCAGTATATCACATTGGATGTTTGGCTTTCAAGCTAGATCAAACTCTTTCGAATGAAAGAGTTTGATACAGCTCAGCCATTCAACAAAACCCACTCACAAAAAAAAATTGAATAGATCATTTGATTTTTGAATTCAGTCAAACATTGAGTTGGGTTATCAAACAAAGTGGAACTCACATAAGGAACACTCGAATGGAACAAAAACAAGCGTTTCAGTTCCAAGCAATTGATGACAAGTGTGTTAATTATTGATCTAGTGTGAAAGCAGTCAAGGCGATGTAAGATCCTGCTTCTTTTATTATTTCCATTTCAGAGTTAAATTCTAAAATAAACATTTTCTGTGAAAATGTCAATACATTTATTTTGTTTACCAAGGAAAAAGTCTGTAAATCTGCAAGTTGAAATCATCTTGGTAATCATCTCAGTTATTACTCTTCACTACATAATTGGCCTCAATAATATTGTAGCATATTCTGAATCCAGCACTTGTCAGATTTCCCTGGCTTGTTGAGTTTACTCAGTTTTCACATTTTATTTTTTTCCAATATAATTTGGTTTGTTTCGATTTTGTTCAGGCATCAAACTCTCCAGAAAGCTGGTTTGATCAGGGTCCGAAATTTTGATATTGTTTGATGGCCAAACTGTTTTGTTGGAAACGGAACTCGTTTGATGGTTGAACTTTTTACAGGAAGATTTTTCACTTTTAAATTAAAAAAAATATCTGCAGGAAAAAGTACACCTTGTGGCAAATAGCTTTGAGGTTTCAATTCTTAGTCTCTTCCGCGTGAAAGTCTACAATGACAACCAGCAGTATTAACTCTGCTGCCAGAACTGAATTTTTGGTCGCATTGGCGACCAGGAAGGCGCAATTTCGGACCCTGTTGATATTGTTTGATGGCCAAACTGTTTTGTTCGGGGGAGTTTGATGGGAACTTTGTTTTCCGTAATAAAGTTGTGAGAACATCATTTTCTTGCACCCAGACCTTGTTACTTTCCCCTGCTTCCCCTGGTATTGACCCTGTACGTGTAGATGATAATGTACAACCTGAGGGAGGTTGTGCCCTTGAAAAGTAGGCTTTTTGTTACTGGTACTGGTAATCATAGACAGCCTCTGTTTACATTTACATGTACATGTAACCCCTGGTCCATAGTCTTAACGTTGCAGGTTGCGGGCAACATAATGTACTAACTATTACTATGAAACACAACTGTATGCTTGTAAAATTATTGTAATGTGATGAATCAGGGTTGTCAGAAAGTTTTGAAGTAGACAGCTGAGTTGTCAAAAATAATAAGCGGCCAGTAAATTATATGTATATTACTCATTTAGTATTTTTTATTCGTATGAGAATATGTACATTAGTAAAGTTGTCTTACTGCTAAAAGGTTTTCCCCCCCCCCCGATAGCCTGGGGAATAGCTTCTGTGTTTTACTTATTACCACTTTGTTTTGTTTTTCATACAACAGGCCAGGCAGATCACCTTGGTATGTGATGTTGGTGCAGAACGTTCCCTCAAAGCAGGCTGGTTCATGGAACTTAATTTCAGTCTCAAGTTACTGTGCTTTATGCTTAGTCAAGTTCTGCAAATGTTAATCTTGAAATACTACTTCTATGCTAAAGACAAAGAATGTCCAACTGCTACCTCGAGTGGGCAAGGTGAAGCAAACCTTGCATTCTAATTGGCTACCCACGGGGGCAAGGTGAGCCCATTTGGCCCACTTGGGATTTCCTGCGTTGGTCCCGCAAGTAAAAGTTCTCTTCTTGGCCATGTAATAATTCATTTATTGACCAAGCTTGTTCATTCAAGATGGCTGAATATTGACCTCATTCATTTTTGTATTTTTATTGACCAAGACCAGGCTGTGCTCTGTGGCCCGTTGCGCCTACATCGGTAACTTTTGTTCTCAGGCGAAAATCTTTGCTTTTTTAAAAAAATCATTTGCTGGGCACACTGGATTTCACAAGTTCAGAGTGCTGGGCTGCCTTCAATTTTTCTTAGAGCACAGCCTTGCAAGGGAAGGCAGGGTCAATAAAGACACAAATATCCAGCCATCTTAACCTCACACCCGGTCAATAAAGCATAATTATTTATTACAATTTTATGGTTGAATCCGTGAGCAGGCAAGGTGAAGCAAATCCTGTGTTCTAATTGGCTACTCAAGTGGGCAAACCAATCAAGCTTGTTCGGTAAAGATAGCTGGGTATTGGCCTCGCAAAAAAGAGCCTGGCCAATATCCAGGCATCTTGACTGAATGTTGGTCAGTAACGCATAATCATTTATAACAATAATAATTATTAGAACTTTGTGAACATCTTTTCCAGAAAGGCATTTTATATTGCTTTAAAAGGGCTAGGTTATGCTATGCTATATTTTGTTCTTTGAGAGGCTTAACTGTGTCTTGGCTTAAATTAAGTTCCAAAAATAATGGTCCAGTTCTGTTATTTAAGACTTGAGGCATTGGCACTGTTTCCCATCACCTCTTGCTATGTATGACAAAGATGATCATGGATTGAAACTTGGCCAACTTTTTCAAGGTTAAAATAATGCTGTGACTGCATAAATCACCAAGAATTATTATGGTTTGTGCTTCTTGATGAAATTGGCTTGATGCATGTATCTTCTTCATAACTCTACAAGTCAAGCATTTTGTGTAAGGGTAAAGACACTAAGGGCGCTTTCCAAAAGTCGGAACTGGCCGGCCAGACCATGGCTGGAGCAGTCGTTTTGACAATGAAATAGCTTTTTCCGAAGAGTTTTTGCTGAAAAACCATCACCTTTGTGCATTAGTATTTAGGTTTTGACTGATCTAGTTGGATAGTTGTGATTAAAAGTGAAATTCTCGTTACTACTGGAATGTTCTGGCCGGTCAGTTTTGACAAATGGAAAGCACCCTAAGTAATGACTTCAGCATAGAAGTGACCTAAAACGTACACATAAAACACATAAACCGTTTTAGCAGACTTGTATTATGTAAAACTGTAGCCATACTTTGTTTGTTGATGTATTTTTTTGCATTTCAATCTTTGCAGTGGTCATAGAAAATTGTGTAGTTTAGACCACCATGTTAGAAGAGTAAGAATATTTCCTGACACCATAATTATAAAATTATCCTGAAGCAGAATGGTCGTATGAGTAAGTGGTATATGGTCATACAGGTTAGTATAGCACTTAGTGGGACTGTTGACAGGTACTGATGTTTTGACAATGCCCATGAAAATGGTGATCACCTTGTTGTCTAAACGTTAGTCGCTGTCAACAACAGTCCTGCTCAGGACTACAATTTACATTCACCCGACAAATCATTTTCTACTTTGTTGAAATAATTATTATAGACAGCCAAACATATCACTAGCCATAAACTGCACATGAAAGTGTTTATCACTGTCTGCTATAAAGGGTATTAATTTGTTAACAGATTTGACATTTTCTTTGCCAAAAAAACAGTACGTAGTCCTACAGAAAATTTCTAGTGGATTTCCTAAAGGAAGCCTCTTACTATTCCTGTTCATTGCTAGTGTGAATAGGCACTCACATTTAAAATGTAATTTAACTTAACCAATGTAATGAATAAATACCATAAGAAGACCTGATTGTCAGTTTAGGAAGCAAGAAGAATAAAGAAAGTACTTGGAAAGATTGCTGTGGTATTATTTTGTGCAATAAAAATGTCGAGAGAATGGGTTTTTGTAACTATAGATGGCGGGAAAACTCCCCCAAGATGGTGAAAAGCGCTTTTTTCACGATGGAAATAACTTGAAAACACCGATTTCCGACTCGTAAACTCGTGTTTCCGCAATAGTTACATCCGATTACGTTGACGGAAACATGAAATAGACTTGTTTCCGGAACGTTTTCGCGTGTTTCCGCAAGGATGCCACGCATTTACTCTTGCGAAAACACGTGTTTGCTTAGACGGAAATTTGACGGAAACGTAGAAAAAAGTGGTACGATTCCGCCGGAACCGCAGCGACGGAAACACGGGTAAACGTAATGTATCCGCTAACGGAAACATGTGATTACCGTCATGTTTCCGCAACGGTTTTACGTGTTTACGTTAAGTTTCCATTTACGGATTCTTGAAATTAATATTATGGCCGTCATATGCAAATATATGAATCTTAAATTAAACATTTAATTCAATGCACGAAAAGCTCGGGGAAAGAAAGATATTTATTGCAGACTTTCCACATATGAATCAAGATTTTTCACTGATTTGATGATTTCACTTCTTTAAGTCCGAAATTATTTGAGAACAAGGCATACTGAAAAAATTCCGCGCACGAATTATCGTGGAATAAACCGGTCGCGGGCGAGTAACTTTAAAGTAGATAAAGCAAGTTATATGTAGCAAATGGAGACTTTGGAGTTCTTTCTATAAAATGAACGGAAACCAAACAAAATTTTAACCATAAATGTAATAATCTGGCTCACCATAAATCTAATTAACAGTTAATGAATGAGGCTGAGTATCTTATGAAGAATTATGGAGATCGAGGAGGGTGTTATCCGTCGAGGCCGTAGGCCAAGGCAGATAACACCCTCGGAGATCTCCATAATTCTTCATATGATGCGAAAGCCAAATTCAATAATTGTTTTATTATTCATTCAAAATAATTCCTAATTTAAAAACATGGCTAACACGTGCTTACCTCCATAGATCCATCGACGTTAAGTTCATCTTCGATAGTGCACGTTTAGGGTTGTTCAGCTCCGCAAATGTTCTCCAAATAGCAGATGCCGCCCTTCGAGTTGTCTTCTTGCTGTTTTTGCCACGTTTTTAGTTATTTTCTCGCCTAGTTCTTACTCTTGAAACGAGTGAAATGTCCGCCATATGTCAATTTCACAACCAAACCAACTCACCTTGTGCATTAACCCGCAAGAACGCTGCATTTTTGACGTCATTTCCTCGCTAAACACAAAATTCTTCCAAATTTGGTCATCAGTAACTGGTTATGGTGACTTAAACGTGTGCTTTTAGCCAATCCGAATCGGGAAATATTTTGAATGAATAATAATAAATGTTAACCATAAATGTAATGAGTATAGAAACTCGCGTCAAAGCGAGTTGGTTTAACGGCATGAGAACGAGAGATATTTGAGAGATTCTTAAAATTTAAAGAGCCATTGTGTGTATTGTGATCAACAGAAACTTTTTGCGGCTGTCTGCCTCTACCCCTGTAAGCCTTGAGATCACCTTTGCGTTCCGCTTTCGTGAACAGAGACCGAAAATTGTTAACAATTATTACCAAAAATATTTGGGAACAAAATTTAAATAGTGTACTTTCTCTTTCCGTCTCTTCTCCGCGCGAACACTAGAAAAAATACTTGAGCGCGTCCATTTGTTATGTTTGATTGGTACGGGCACTTTTCTTTTCTTCATCCGATCCAGTTTCATACCGTTGAACGCTCTGCGACAAAATCCACGTTACTTACTGATTTAGAAGCAATTTTATTTCCCACGTCAAGTAATTTCCAGTTAACTGCTAAATTTAATTCCCCCGCCTTCCCATTTCTTACTTCCTCTTACTAAAACGACACTTTTCTCTTTTCTATAACTAGAATACGGTAGTTTCTCAGTTTTCTAGTTAATATTTTAAATATACTTTTTGCTTGTTCCGGATTATCTAGAAATTTTTTGAAAATTTTAGATTGTTTGAAGTTGAGAACACTAGGATCGCAAATTTTAATTTTCATTGACAGAGTTGAAAATGACATCCTTGCAAAACACTGCCTGACCAAAATCGTGAGATTAAGTAATTATAGTAATAACTAAAGTAAGTAATAGTAATACATGAAAAGCGGATTGGTAATATGAACAGAAAGCTACCTTGAGGGAGTATGTGGTATTCAGTATCCAATCTTCTCTTGCTTTTATACCAAAATTTAACCTTCTGACATCTACTACTGAACAACAAATGACAACCTTTTGGCAATCATAAGCTTCATTTGATAATAACGTTATATTTATTACATTTATGGTCAAAATTTATTACATTTATTACATTTATGATCAAAATTTATTACATTTACGGTTAAAATTTTATTACTTTTATGGTTAGTAATTTATTACATTTATGGTTAAAATTTTATCACATTTATGGTTAGTAATTTATTACATTTATGGTTGATATTTATTGCAGTTATGGTTAGTATTACATTTATGGTTGATTATTACATTTATGGGTGATACAGCTGTAGGCAAACCAGTCGGATATCTGACAGGTGAGATCGAGATCTGAACTGGGGACAACAGGAACTGAAAAATCTAGCTAGAGGCAATTAAGGGTGGTACTCTAACTCAGGGCTGCCACGCTGCTTAATTGCTCTTTCACAGCAATCATAATCCTTACGTCTCTCCATTTTCTGGTTGGCAGGTGCAATGAGTGAGAGTTCTGAGGATAAAAGGGCTCAAAATTCTGAAGTCGTTCACGTCTCGTTCTGGCGCTTGTGGTCAAATCGTATTCGCATCCTTCGCGTGTTCAGCATTGCGTGTAAGTACTGATTACGTAATAATTAATTTGACAACTGTCGAGTTTTATCGCCTCTACATTAACTTGTACTTAACGCTTCTAAGCCAAACCATTGAAATGAAAACAAAGCAGTTTTAACCCTTATGTTGTACAAGAGTATGTTTACAAATCCCTTAATTAGAGTTCGACACCTTTGGTCCTTTCGTTTATTGTCATCAGTGTTAATTTTTTGTAACAAATATGGACAGTTTTGAGGCAATTTACCCTTCGATCTTCTTGTCAACGGGGAGGGTTTTATCTCTAGATGGTACCTTTTCAAACATTTCTTAGAACAAAAATGTACTTATTTAAATTCGGCTGACCCATTTACATTTTGCGCGCCTTAGCACATGAGCGGTCTTGAGTTATTTACTTGTTTATTTCATCATTGCCGGGCCAGTGATTGTTTTAACAACTTTAGCTTATATTGATGTATCTCTTTAACCTCTTTATTGTCCTCATAATTATACTTCCGCGCTTCAACGCAGTTCCCGCCAAAAGCTGAGCACTATGTAACACATTTTCTGTTTGTTGTATTCCAAAAGCTTTTAAAATAAAGTTGACTAGTACAGCTGCGAGAGTTTTTTTCTTTTTTTTTAGTTCAAATTTTTTCACGCAGTTCCATATGTTAAAGCCTCTGACATGAAAGGGTGAACTACTATTTATGCTCACATTTTCATATTTATATGTACTCCACTTTTAGTGCTTAATGCCTTAGGAAACAATCCATCAATTAGACTTGGAGGCAAAGAGAAAAACTATTGTGGTCTTTAAAAACCGTGGTGGTCTTAAGTCACATTTAAGTCGTATTCATCTTTACCGCCATTAAAGAGGTCACTGATCCCTGTTGATCAGATTTTAAACTGAGGGGAGAAAAGGATGGTAAAAATATCTTGATAAGGTTTAGAAAGTTTTATAAAGAAATAAATAAGGGAGGTTGCAGAATTTTGTGTCTCCCTCATGCAAAGATGGTCTTTTTAGAAGTCACACACTCAAAATACGTATACGCCATGAAATGAATATCCTATTGTCAAAAGTAACAAAGTTAAAAGTTATGGTCAGCACACATTTGGGAGAGTGTATTAACAATAAAGTAAGTCAGGGAAGGGGCGGGGGGGGTCAGGAGTTCTAGCTTGAATATGATATATCTTGTTTTGCAATCCCTCCCCCTTCTTCTTTCGGATGGCTGGTCTCCAATCAAGATTATTTTTTTCTGACGTGACAACATTCTTTATAATCCTTTAATTGTTCTTAAAATAAATAGATCATGACGCAAATGACTTGTATAACATTTATAAGCGACATCCAAGTTCCGTTTGATCATATTAATGCAACGTTTTTATTGGTCAATACAATCAAAATGATAGGAATTCTTTTGAACGTTGTGCACTTTCAGGTCCACAAAAACATATAACAAAGGAGTCTGACGGGTTTCATAACCATTCCAATCAATTAACTATGGTTTGATTCATATCAATACAGTCTTCAGAGTGAGCAATACTGTGCCTTTCCGAGCAAACTCTTCTCAACCGAAGTTTTGAAGAATCGTCGAGGGTGAGTGGCATGAACCGCATTTTTTTCTCCAACAACTTTTGTCAAGGAAAAAAAAATTTTGTTGAACCTTCTTTTCTTCCCTTGTGTTTTTTTCTTCTTAGATCGCGAAATTTTTACGTGAGTACGCATGTAAATTTAACGCGCGTAAATAAAATAGAGACAATGTATGGAAGGTCACGCTAAACGTAAGAGTTGAACCTTGCTCAACTTTCACGTTTACACGTCGCCTTTTATACTTATTGCCTCTTTTTCATTTACGCACGTAAATTTTACGTGCGTTCGCATGGAAAAATTACGTGACAGTGGAAATCCATTCCTTATAGACCCAACTCAACTACTAGTAGTTCCCGCCAAATTTAATAAACAGAAGATGTTTAGAAAACTTCCTCTCAAAATGACTAAAAATCGAACTAAATTAAGTGTGTGCTATAACCTTCGTTCAAAAATGTTCTAACAGTGATTTCATGTCTTTCACCAAAATGCTTAGCTTTAGTTAATCTACGGACTGCGCGCGCAAAGTAGGTTCCGCCAAAATTAACAGGAACAAATCTGTAGCTAGTTAACGGTTGTCTGAATCACACCCCGAGATTCACCTCGAGAGAATTTGAGATTTTTTTATCAGCTAAGGTATACTTAAATCCTATATTAAAATAATGACGCCTTTCATTTAGTTACGATGATTATGTTAAACAAATGTTTTCGTTTAGTCAGAGCGCTGACTCTGGATTTCCGCCTAAACATGAGGAAAAATGAAAAGCGAAGTATCAAGAATCAAAGCTGATAGACAACCATGATAATCCTTGTCAGCGTTTTGTTCTAAATCTAACGCTTTTGATTTCTATTTTTGAATGTGTTTTTTTTCATACATTTGCTAAACCATTGTAGCTGTAAGCCTGATGCACTTCATTGAAACTTCATCATGAAGATGATGAAATACGGGTCACTTTGTACTGACCTCTAAATTATTTTTGGCGTTAATTTTTTTAATCGAAAGACGGGCTAATTGCTTTGAGAGAAAAAAAAAACTTTTGAATCGCCTCAGTGTAGTAAATATAACGAGCGGTTATTAAAAGACAAGGTTTTAATGCTAATCGTTTTGCCCGCGCAAAAAAAAATTTGCATAGATTATGCCTAAAAGTGAATGCAAACAGAAACTGAGCGCTTACTCCATATCTACACCCTCTCCCCAAGCCCACCCCCGCTACCGAAGCCAAAGTTGGCGTGTTTGTTGTTTTCTGCAAGGAAACTTCAAAAGTGTTTATGGCGAGGTGGGAGGGGAAAGCTTGGTTCTTTTTCCTTTTTCCAGTCGTTGTTATTGAACAAACGTTGGAGATGTCGTAGGGGACAAGGTGACTCGTCCAATTATGACGGCGATTTTTGTAAGAGAAACGGGATGTTTCAAAAATTCGCTTAATTTACCATAACGTTTTTACGGTACCAATTAAAAGGCAAACGGAAAAGAAATTTTTATTCTAATTTCATCCTGGAGGATCTTTTATTGAACATACTATTGGATACCAGTGGCTTTATTTTTACATTTTTTACGTTGTTGTTTGATAACTATTATTATATTGTTTTATATTTTTTTTTTTTTTTTTTTGCGTTGTTGTAACTATTGCCGACTCTTGACAAAAACAAATATTGAATAATTATTTGTTCTCTTTGGTCAAGCGAAGCAGTTCTCCTTCGTTGCCATTACACAATCAAAGAATTCCACAGCTAATTAAACTGGGAAAATGTACAATATTTATCAGAGGCTTATATGCTTCTTCATTTGCAAGTATTATAAAACTTCGCCTGAGTGACTTTTGTGGTTTGTTAATTCTGACTTTGTTAAGCTTTATAACGACCGTGCAATTAGCAATAGGCAACTGTTACAATTGTGATACCGCTCCGCAGTTGATAGAGTTAGCGGCCCCGATGAAAAAAGACACCTATGCAAGTGAATAATATTTTACGTTTGATTGTTGTTGACTCACATGAACCCCATTCACACCAACAAAACCTCCTTAATTAAGACACTTTTAGTAGATGAAATTCAGTACGTCTCTAGTGGCGAGGAGAAAAGGCTGTTTTCGCAGGCTAAATTCGTTTTCTCTAACGACAAAACTCAAAACGTGTTTAGTTTGATGTCAATAACGCATTGCTAAAAAAACACACACCGCAACGTTTGAGGAGAATAGCTTGGCTTGCTTCAAACCTTCGATTAATAAAAAGAAAAGAAATGGGCCAAGCAGCAGCCCCAACGCAGCCCAGCGGGGTACAACTACGTACCAAGAATAAGGTGTGGTGCAGACGTCGAGCAGGCGGGATACGTTCTTCTCTCCCCAGTCCCTTTCTTATCCACCGCCACTCTTTAAGAATTGAACATGACACTTTCTCTGCTTTCTACCTCTTCCGCTTCAACGTCCTGAGATAACACCAACAGAAAGCAAGAGCAGAAAGCTAAGGGTATTTGTTGTACATTAGGCTTCATCTTTAGAATAGAGAATTTTAACTAAATAAATAACAACAAAAACGTTTGGTTAAATCATATGTTAATTTTAAGTTTCTCTTAATTGTCAGCTGCTTTGGCAGTGATTTTAGTGCAACGCTTCGATCCGTTAATGAGGTTATCTGTTGTCCATTCTTCATCGCTTGATGAAGACTAAATTGACTTCTTTTAGTCAACTGATAAACTAACCAGCCGTGGGGCAAACCACAAAGAACAGTATGTTTCACTTCATTTTACAGTATTTTCCCTTAGGGCCTGTTTACATGGAGTGGGGGACCCCGGTCCAGTGGGGTTGGTTTCTTTTGTTTTCACGCTCTGGAGGACACAAAACAGAAGAAACCTACCCCACTAGACCGGGGTCCCCCACTCCATGTAAACAGGGTCTTAAAATCATTTTTCTGTTTCAACGTCTCACAGGTATTGAGAAAACACAATGCGAAGCCTTCCAGTTGGTTTGTTTCTTGTCGCCTTTTTGACCATCTGTTCCGGTGCCCCTTCTTTTAACCGTGTTGGACGTCCGCGATTTTTCCTGAGAGACGAAAAAAGACGTGAGTGTTCAATCATAGTTAATTAAAGCGAAATGGTTGGGAAACCCTTTGTTATAGGTTTTTGTTAACGTTTTTGGACCTGACCGTGCACAACGTTCAATAGTATTCCTATCATTTTGAAGTTATTGACCAACAGAAACATTGCATTGATTTATTCAGTCATAATTTATGAACAGAAAACAAAGGATTGTGCACGGTCAGGGAGCTTCCAACATAACCTAAAGTACCGTTGTTTTCAACTTTGGTGTTTGCCGGGTTTCCTAACCAGTCTCCTCTACTAACTCAGGGTTTTCTTTAAGGTTTTAAGTAGCCGGACTTTTTTGAAAAGTAGACGATTGTGGGTCCAGAGGACCCATACGATGGGCTTTAGCCCATCGTTTCTAGGGGGTCCGGGGGCATGCTCCCCCGGAAAATTTTTGAAAACTGAACGCTGGAAAACGCATTTCCTGGCATTTTAGGCCATGAAAGTCAGACATTAGAGGGATAAACTAAGCTGCAATTATACGGAGCGACATTTCAATAATACAGCCGTATAAACAAAAAGTGGAATTATATTTTTTGTATCTTTTTAGTAACCATGGTTCAATCTATTCTGTAGTTCTTTCTTGCTCGTTTGGTTGGTTCCACTGACTAACCTGACTTACGGTGATCGTAAAATATCTCGGCATATCTAACAAAGGTATTCAGCTCAAAGTTCGTACCACAGTTATCTAACCAAAGGTAACCCTCGGCGGTTTTACCTAAAATAAAAGGACTTTAATGAACACATACTACATCAGCTACACCAACTACAGCAAACATCAACTTTATCATAGTACACTAAGTCATCACCAAACACGTCTCTATATTCGTGACGGTTATCATGAATCTATTACCTGTCATGACACTTTGCTCATTTTCTGTGCATTTTGTCTACCCAACCTCCCCCCTAGGGCCCAGGGCTTTTCCCTCCCATTTTTTAACCAACATCAATTTTCTCCCAGCAATATCCATATGTTGCCAAGAAAAATGGTTATGAGAGTTAATAAAATGATCACTGAAGATCGAGAAAATGCTTTGATCTATTATAAAATTCTCTCAACTAATTCTTTAAGGAAATGTCTAGAGATCACTTTGGAGAATTTGTTAGTGGATATCGGGGGGTTAAAGGGAAAAACCATAGGGCCGAGGTTGTTGTCTACCTTATTTATCACAAAGATGGAAATAACAAGAATGTGACAGTAGAAAGCCAGGTTCTTCCAAAAGGCTAATGTATTTTAAAATTTTCTGAACGTTTGATAATTTGACAATCTGTTTGAATCTTTACTTTAAGCCGCCGGCAACGTGGACATGGAAGCTTGTTTAAAAGCTCATAATCAGCTGCGTGCCAAACACAATGCCTCACCCTTATCTTGGGATACGAAACTCGCTAATGATGCGCAGGAATGGGCCAATCGTCTCGGCAATCTAGGAAAAATGATGCACGCAACGGGTACTGGTGAAGGCGAAAATCTCTACTGGTCTGCGAGTACTTCGAAAGTCGCCACTTGCGTAGATGCAGTAGAAGCATGGTAAATGATAACTTATGCTTAAATCCAGATGTTTGAACAAACCTAGCTTGTCCGTGGATCGCTGCTTACCGTTTCTCTTCTTAATTATAGGGCTTCAGAAGAAAAAGACTACCCATTTGACCATCCACCGCAAACATTTGCAGAATTCGCAAATAATGGTAAAGCCATTGGTCACTATACACAGGTTAGACATGTCTTCCTTATATTCCCTTGATAGCCTGCAGTACAGTCGTCTTCTTCGGGTGCCCATGTTTTGCTAGCGAAAGCGCCATGTTGAAACTCCAAAAGAGCCGTGAGAAGAACTAACGGCTACTATTTTTCCGGAATTTTTGGAGGAATTTTAGACATCAAAAAAAATTTTAGAAAATCTCGGGAATTTTAGAGCAAATTGAACATTCAACCGACATTTTGGCAACGTTTCACTGGCAAAAACGTTGACAAAACATGTTTTTTTTTTGGTATTCCTATCAACCAAGAGAGGGCTCAATACGCTCACATGCTTCAGCGGTGTCTAGAACATTATATACTGAGCACAACAAATCAGCCGTTTTGCGTCATAGTCAACTACACTATACAACTTATCAGCGGTTATTCACCAAAAAGGGCCCTTGCTATAAAAAAAAATGTTTTAGAAGTTTTGGGAATTTTAGGGAGTTTTTGGAGATTTTAGATCTTTTTTTCGGGGAAATTTTGAAAGAATTTTAGGCCACATTTCGGGAATTATGTAGCCAAGCCTATTTTGGTTTCTTTTTTCCCTTTCCTTTGCCTGTCCGCAACTTACGCTCCGGGTTTACGCTCTCCCCCGAAAATAAAACTGAAGAACTCCTTGCAGCTTAAATCATATCAAGCTTTGAGAAAAACGATTGCATTGAAGTTTCCCAAAGTGTTCACTCAGTCAGTGATGATAGGTTGAGCAGGGATAAACAGAAGAAATCAGAAGTATTATATCACACCTAGCTTTTTCTCTTATTTGTCCCCATTCCGCAGGAAGTTTGGAAGGCAACTAAAAAAGTGGGTGTAGCCATTGCGACAAAGAAAGATGGCGTTTTCACCAACACATACATCGTGGCACGATATTATCCGTCTGGAAACATGCTGGGACATTTTGGAAGCAACGTTGAGTAGCCTGAAACTGATAGTATTTTTCTAGTGAGTATTAATAATGCCGTAGCCTAAACTACATAAATTGTAGGAGTGTTACTTGGTCTTGGGTAACAAGGGTGACACAGTGGTGAGAGCACTTGCCTCCCACCAATGTGGCCTGGGTTCAAATCCCTGCGTCGAAAGCTTACGTGGGTTGAGTTTGTTGTTGGTTCTCTTCTATGCTCCTAGAGGTTTTTTTCCGGGTACTCCGGTTTTCCCCTCTCCTCAGAAACCAACATTTTCAAATTCCAACTCGACCAGGAGTGGTAAACGAAGAACCACTATGTGGATGTGCTATAACTAAGTCTAAGTCTTTGTTTAGAGAAACTATAAGCTTTAAACTACAAATCAAATAAGTGAAAGAAACGCCTTTTGTTGAAAAAAATCTTTGTTCCTCCTTCGTACATAATGAGATAAACTTGAAAAAAGCAGGCCGCATACGGTTTTTCAAGTTTATCCGAATGCGTTTTATTCCCCTTCTACAGTCAGTTATAGTTTGGGAAGGGCAGATTTTTCCCAAATAGCTGGAACCTCTCTTAATGTCCTTTTCTTCTGAAATATGCCATCTTCAGATTGCTATTTGATTTGGTTCTCTTTGTAAATCAGATAATTTCCCTTCATACTTTAAAACCTGTGAACATAGAAGCAACTAATTTGGGGATTCATGCAGGTTATAAAGTTGGCGACTCTTTAAGTGATGCATTACAACTAACGACGACAAAATAACTTTTTCCTTTCTTTTTTTTTTCCCTTAGAACCTAGAGCAAGAAGCTTTCAAAGACGATTATTATCTTATTACTTTAGGAATTGTATCAAGATCGTCCATTATAATCAGCATTCGAAGCCATAAATGCAAAGAAGTTAAAATGCAGTTGCAAATTAGAAAGCCTGCTAAAAAATAGAGCTTGACGGGATTCGAACCCTGACCTCCACCTAATGCTGGTGCAGCGCTCTAACCAATTGAGCGTTATTGGATTATTTAGGCTTTCTTGTTTCGCATATAAGATGCCTCTTAACCGCGATCATCTTCTTTGCATTTTATATATAGCATCTTCTTTGCCATTTATATATATTCGTCATGATATGCAACGTAATATTAGTAAGTCTTGTTATCTTAGCTGCTCAGCAAAAAGCTGGTAAGCACTATTTATGCTGTAATCGTGACGGCAACTTACAAGTTTTTGCCATTAAAGTGGAGTCTGATTTTTCTTCGTGTTTACGAGTTCTTTTAATCACACGGATAAAGGGATGATGTACTGCCGCCATTAAACTTCCGGCTTTGCAAGGAGTGTTTTATCAAGTTTGAAATTCTGATCTGACCCATCGGCAACTGAACCGCGCCCAGTTGCGGCCAAGCAATAAAAGTTTAAGTTGACCGAAACAGTTGTAGTGGTTTGCAACTTCAGTATAAATAACTGAACAATGACCGCGCTAAGAAACAGGCAATTTTATTCTGGTATATATAACTGAACAATTAAATACACCTCTCTCGGCTTTCGGGTTGAACTGAATCCTAGTTAATTCTATTGTGTACAGTTGATGTGAATTCTTGGAACATAAAATACTTTTTATTACATATCTTTAAAGCTTTATGGATTAACTGCATGGAAGCACTGCTGACAGGCCCAAACGCCGTGGTTTCCACACCTCCAGACTGTAAAATCGCCCTGAAATAGAACAGTAGAATATTTAGGAAGTAAAACTTGCAAGGATATGGGAATTGTCCACCAACCCCTAGCCTAAGGCAACATTTTACCCTTAAAGAGCAGCTAGTGTCAACGTGGGGTAGCGTTGGGTTAGGGGAGGAACTGGTGGGAAGTTGCTCACTCACCCCCCTCCCCCTTCACCCCCCTACCCCTTCACCCCCCACCCCCAACCCAACATTTTGCCCTTAGTGAGAAGCGAGTTTGACTTCTATTGTCTCTCTCCACAAATCACATTTTATTTTTGTATTATTTTAAATATTGTAACCGTTTATTCTTTTCTCACTTAGCTTTTCTAGCCCCCGGTGCAGGTTAGTTTTGCCTATTCTAAATATTGGACAAATAATTACCCATCCATAGCTGTCCGATCAGCCTTGCCTTCAGGTTTAAGGGTCAGGGGAGGAATTGGTGGGGAGTTGCTTACCCACCCCTTCCTAACCCAACCGTTTGCCCTCAGTGAGAAGCTACCGTTCACGTTGGGTTAGGAGAGAAGTCGGTGGGACGGTTTCCCTGGAATCTTCTAATGATTCGAAAGATTATTATTTGACAATCTAAAGAAGCTTTGACGCCAAAACTTACATGTGATTGCATGCGTCATTCGGGTACGAGATGAGGATCACTATGATGTGACTCAACAACTAGCTGAAAGGAGATAGACTACTCGAGATAAAAAAGGAGGCATTTTTGAAAATTCTCCGTTGTCGTTCGTGTTACTGATTGGGCTGTTTGTAAAATACATGAGTGCTTTATTTCTGTGGTTTTCATAAAAAAAGAAGCTATTTACAGCCCTTCCTGATCAAAATATAGGAAAATAAATTTGTCAAGTTGTGCCTTTACGTTAAGGCTAGGAGTCAGAATATAAGAAGAACGGCTTGAAAGTCTTTATTTTTTCCTTTAGCTTTGAGACACTTCTTGAAGCTCTAACCACAGTATACGTTGGTTTTGTACAGACGAAAAGCAAACTTACTGGCTGAGAAGTCGAGTATATTTCATTTTTGAAAGGGCATTTTTCATCTCCATATGGAAGAGCCACAGCAACAAAGCTGTTCAGTTCAGCAAGCGGTGATACTTGACAAGAATGGATCTTCTGGGTGGACTGGTAAGTAGTCTGTGATACACAAGGTAGCTGCTTATCATCAGTTGCAGTAGTTGTCGCATTTGCTCCAGGCTTAACAGTCACTGTCTTATAACATGGTGGAGGCGCTGGGGCTGAACTGCTTAGCGCAAGAAGTGCATAAGCCGCATCGATTTCGTCTGGGGAATATTTCTGTTTGAAATGCGAAACAATCTCATATTGAGTGATTACGGGTACAATAAAGCACAGCTGGCGCAAAGGTAACGTAAGAGTTTGTATGGGAAATAAAACTTAGACAAAATAGGTAAACAAAAAGGGATAAAAGTCATCAATTAAGTGTAAATTAATATTGTTTCCAATTGACTGACAGACTGGTAAAATCTCAATATCCACCTTTGCACACCTGTATACAGGTTATCAAAGAGAAAAATAAAATGAGGTAAGAAAAGCGAAAAAAAGAAGGGAGGAACAAGACTCCTTCAGGTCATATCCTACACTACTTTTGTGTAAAAAGTAACCCCTGTAAACCGGTTTACTCCCACGACATGGCCAGAAAACCACTACAGGGTTTTTCGGCAAAATCTCCAGGAGCTGGGTCTAACCAAACTGGTAACAATATCCTTTCCCAGGCTTCAGGTTTTTAAAGGGTAGGGATTTCACTGGTTGAAGTATATCAAAGGGCTGGGAAATCTGTCATTGCGATCTGTCAAAGGACCTAAAAGGGCTAACAAGAGCATAATGGCTGTTTGGCTGAGAAAAAGAAAAGAAAACTTTCTGGATGAGTGATTTAATCTTTTTTTTTTAAAAAAGACGGGGCGTAGTGAGTGGGCAGAGCAGTTAAAAGGGATGCATTGTTCTAAACTAGGTATGTGAAAGGGGTACCATTTGTGAATAAAAGGTGCAAGAAAGGGGTACCTTTTCCATTACAAATGGTATACGGAATTATAGGATAAGGGGCGTAGCCTCCCGTATGAAATTTTGTGGACTAACCCTCACCCCCCTCCCCGGGAAAGTATTCTATCAAGTACAATCTATCAAGTACACCGGGAAGTACAGTACTCCTCACCTCTTCAATAGCAGGCCGATTATCCTGTTTGAACTGCAGATTACTGGGCCCTTTACTTCTTGAACTATTAACACTTGTAAGTGCCATCTCCATTATCTTGCAAAAACGAAATTTTTTGTTGGTAATTATGAATTTCTTGAGATAATTTAGAAATAATTTTAGTTCCTTGTGATTGATAAACTATATATTTTTATTTTTTAATGGCTTTTATACTCTTCTCTTTTCCTATTTACAGCTTTAATAGCAATAGTACCAATTTGTAATTACAATCGATTTCGATAAACATTAACGATAAGAGGGTTTCGTTTAGTTTATCATAAGAGTCATACATACACCTCAGTAACATGGATAAACTTCGTTGTGTCATGTAAAAATGAAAAATGGAAAAAAAAACAAATAGATAATTATATATTTGCTTGGCTTAACAAGAGAGATTAATGGCTTTCAGCACTGCATCAGAAACCCAACCGCAATACTGGGTGTCTCCGGTTTCATCTATCAACGATGACAAGTTGAAGCTGAAAGAAAGTTAATTGTCAGACGCACTTACCTTAAAACAGTTATCTTCGAAAGAAAAATAATGGGTATTTCTCGCAACTATGACAACTATGACGTCAACAATGGCGCAACTTCCATTTAAAGCTTAGCTCGCGCGCACTTTAGAGAGAACGAGTTCTGCGAAACGTACACTGGACGAATGGCACTTCTGTTAGCGCTGCGTTTCTCCTCCTAGTTAATGCGGACTATTTTTCAATTACAAGTTTTTAGCTATCTGTCACCTTTGCTACATCGGAAGGAATGTAATAAAGGTCGCTTTTACATTTTAAAATTTTCAAGAGCGGCGCGATAATGTTACATACTGTTGATCTTGAAATTCGCCCCAGTCCAATCAAGCACGTCTAAACATGCATGATCATTTTAAAAAGACTAAATTGTCCCTTCGTCATGTTGCTGCAAAGAAAGGGACATGAAGATCCCACATCCCATATAGTTTTATATCTTATTTGTTCTTAATGCATACATGAGAAACATAGGTTAACATGAAACTGAACTGGGGTAGTAGGAGTTGTATTATTTATTTACAAATGTCGTGGAGAGCCACTGAGGCTAGTATAAAATGATGACGTAGCGGTTCTATTTTCTTAGAGTTTTTACAAGATCATCAGGGTAATTGAAATCATCCTACCAAATTCAAACGGGTTCTAGGTTTCATAGACTCACTCATCAGTCCCCATCGAGTCACCCATAGCCGTACCCTGGGTGCCAGAGGCTTTTCATGCCCGGTTTCCGAAAGTCTTTCTCGCGGCTTCGCCGCTCGTGTCTTCGGCGTGTTGGCCGCTGCGGCCGACGAAGCTCCTCGTCGGACTCGAAAAAAACCCTCTAGTGCCCAGGGTACCACGGCCGGAAACTGAGCCTATAGGTTTCAGTAATGTTCATAGTTTTTGCTTTATAATAACAATGTTTGACGGTTCAATTTCCAAAGATTTCACGCGCAAATCAACAAAAAATCTTTTAGAACTGACAACGGGTATGGCGGGCGAAAACAAGCACCCTGAGACCTATTTTCTTACTGCATTCGGTTTCAATCAATGTCCCTTCTTACAGTAACCTTTTTAAACAACCTTGATCGTGCTAACCTCTTTCATAGCGCTTAATTCACTGGACAAATGTATTAATTGTTTTCTAGGGCTAAAATTCATGCTTTTTAGTTATTTAACAACTGAATTGCTGCAAAATAAAGAGCGTACAGAAGCAGCTGAGGTGATAGACAGTTAAAGAAGGAACTCCCAGCGGCGATGATTTTCTCGGCAACACTCTGGTACTTATACTCCGTCGGAAATAACAATTAAAGGCATAATTTCACACAATATCCTTTTATTTGAATTTCATTTTCCATACGTTTATAGAGTCACTTTCATACAGTACACGTTTTACACTCTCTGGGCTTCGGTAGTTCTAGGGCTGAACCCGCGGCAAGTTTCCATGTGTGTCGGCCAGTGATCTCTCTGGCATTCTTCTCCACAGTAGCAGGCTGACCAACATCCACTGCACATAAACAGACGCGACGTATTCACGTTACAACTGGTGCACACCTATGAGAGAAAGAAACAAGTCCTAATTTCAGCTTGATGGATACAAGACCCAGATCAAACGGAATAACGTTACATTACACGCAAAAATGGGCGAGGTTACACGCAACACCAAACTATTCCCCAGTTCATCGTTCATCTTATCATCTCTTGGTTCACTCGAGGTATCAAACTTTAGAACGCATTACTGAAGGCACAGATTTTAAATTTCAGTCCTTAAAGACTTATTTTGTAAACAGAGGTTTCTTTTCATCGTGGTTTTTAGGAAGTATGAAGTCGTTCGCGTCGCTGACATTCGTGTAGTATTTCATTAGAAATAATTTGTTTACAAAACCGTGTTGGAAAGAAACCTCTGGTACCTGGTATGTAAGCCTCGAGAGGAGTGGATTATAATTCGAAGAGGACAGGCGGCAAATTGTTGTTACAGGAAATATCTGCATGTCGTAACTGTTCATCGGCAGGATGCCTGGGATGTATGCAATTCCTCATTTGGTTTCGGCTCCATAAACTGCACCCAAATGTAGAAAATTTTAGGGGGACCCATCCTTAATCTGAACACAGTTACTGACTTAAGGTATTTTAGTTTGGAAAACAACGCAAAGTAAAAGTAATACGTTACATAACGAACTAAACGCGCACGTTAAATAAGAAAATAAAGGAAACGCGCAGATTGAAATTGCGCGCGCACACAACCTAAATCAGCTGAAAGGATGAAGGATACTGCAGTATTCAACCATTGACTTCTGGTCTCATCCCTCATCTCTGAGTTATTGACAATGTTCAGTTTACGAGTAACAATATTATTGTACCATATTCCTTTGTAAAAGATGTCTTTGGCGTCGCATTCCCTCCTGGATTCCCTCTCTGCGCGCTCGCTCCAATTCCTTTTTATGCTCCCGACGCGTGTCCTCCATCGTCTTTTTGAAGTATTCCTTCACCGTTTTCGCCATGTGAAGTACAAGATTCTGGCAAGTCAAGCGCACAGCCTGTATTTTCCTTGCACCTCTTTCTTTCTCCTGTTTCAGCTGAGTCTCTGCAAGTTAAGATAAATACTTCTTAACAAAACGAGACTGACAAACTGCAAGCATAGAGTTGATGTTCGGGCAATATGTATTCCCGTGAATATTCATAGTTTATAATCAAAGAACATACACTTAAATCAATATCGCCGACCTTGTTTGTATATCAAGGCTGGAATGTATTTGTTCGATTCAGCAGATTATTAAGGTTTTTGTCGTTTTCAAAGTGTTATTAGAATTATCATTACTACTATCTGAATAATCTTGTAATCAAGTAAAGTCAGGATCACTCCTGGTAGCCTGAGTATCTAGCCTGCGTAGCTGGCGGTATTGTGTAGTAGTCGAGTGAGATTTGGCGGCGGAACCGTTGTAATATAGTCGAGTGAGATTTGACGGTGCAGCCGTCACGAGCGGCGAAGCTGCGAGAAATACCGCCTCGTCCCTACTCCCTTTTTTTGGAACACGGCTTCGCCGCCAAAACTTTCTCGCACCCACACAATACCGCCAGCAACGCAGGCTACTGAGTATCAGGCGTTTCTGGGGGAAAAGGGGAAAGACGCTCCCCTCCCCCGTCTAAAATCTCCTCTCCCGTAGCCCCTTAGGAAGGCCTGATACTCAGGCTACACTCCTGGTGAAGTAAACTCACCCAGTGATTCCAGTTGTTGCTCTAACTGCTGCTTAGGTTCAGCAGCTTTTGCCACTGCTGCTGTCTCAGCGCCTAAATTTCCAGCCACTTGAACGGTCACGTCCCTCATCTCACTTAAAAGGCTTTGACAATTTTCAAATAATAGTTCAAGCTGGAGATATTAAAATAAAGCTAAGGGAAAGTTCATTTAATATGACAAGGGGGGGATGAAGATATTGAGGGGGGGCTCCGAAAATTTTTAGACACCCGAAGGGGGGGGCTCTGAAAAAATTGTTGCGCTAGGAGGGGGGGCTCCGAAAATTTGTATACTTCAAAACCAACACATGACATCATCATACAGATCGGATGGTTTTCAACTCAACAATTTAATGACCTGTGCAACTCTGCTATATCACGTGGTTTACAGATATAACAAATGTAGTCTCAGTAATTATTACACTCTTGTTCATCCCAAAAATGCTTTAGAAAATTGTATCACAACTGTATCTCAAGTTTGTCATAGTATAAACCATTGAAGATAATAACGGTAAATATATTTAATACAGTCTAGCGATCTTTTTTCAGGGGAGCAAAGGAATTGAAGGAGGAGGGGGGGGGCTCAAAAAATTTTTTCGACTACCAAGGAGGGGGCTCCTAAAAAATTGAACCGCTAGCGAGGAGGGCTGCTAAAATTTCAAGCTTCGAGTTTCAATATCTTCATCCCCCCCTTGTCATATTAAATGAACTTTCCCTAAGGTAACGTCTTTCAAGGGCGTACGAAAGATTTTTCAATGGAGTAAAAGGGGGGCGGGAGTCTCCAGGCCAGCGTCACTACTGTCGTCGCTACTTCCCAGGGCATGAAATTTTTATCACAGAATATCCAAGCTGATTTTTTGGAACGCTTGCAAAAATTCGCAACGTGATATTCTTCTTTCGCGTTGTTTGGTTCTTTTTATTACTCTCGAGGTGTCTTTTCTTTTTCCTTAAAAATTGGGGGAAGGTTCAGCTGGAGCCATAGAACCTTCCTTGCCACGCCCTTTCCATGGCTGCCTCTTCCCGGGTGATATGGCTGTGCGCATGCGTCAGGAACTGGCCAGGCCGGGGGTGGTGTAGGTGTACCCCTGGCTTTAAGTTTTTCCTTTGGGTACCGTTTCAAAATAATAATAATAAGAAGAAGAAGAACAAGAACAAGAATAAGATTCGCTTTTCCTGATGGTGGACTTCTGGTAGTTAGGGATAAGACTGAAAGCAGTTTCGCTCATTAGAATTAGTTTCTGGTATTGGTAAGGAGACTGGAACACATTGCCAAGAGAAATGCGCAAAACGTTGTGGGAATATAGCAAGGAAGAGTTTGAGCGCAGCCCTATTTGGAGCATATAACATCTTTTTTTAAAGGTGATGGAGGACACCTTTGGAACATGCCCCACAACGTACAGTGAGCTGATAATAACTGAATCATTAATCAGATTAGTTGAGAAACAAGATTAGCTTTTTTAGGGAGAAAAAGGTTTCTTAATCCTGTCATAGTGATATAATAAACGATGATTCAATTTACAGGAAAGGAAAAAACTTTTTACACACAAGGTTTCTATTCCATCGCAGAATCTTTTTCAAGTGATGGATTTGGGCGTTTTGTCACGTAATTTACACTGTGAATCCTCGCTAGGGAGGAGGACATGTTCAAGAGAAGAGTTAGGGAAGCCATCGAAATATTTTGTCTGACTCCAACTTTAAACAGAGACGCTGCGCTGGTTACGAGCTCCCCGCGATCTATCGAGAAGTTTTGTCACGAGATTCACAGTTTGATCACGTGACCAAGCGCCCAAATCCATCACTAGAAAAACATTCCGCTAGGGAATCGAGAGCTTGTGTGTAAAAAGTTTCTTCTTATCCTGTAAATTGAATCGTCCTTTATTAAACTTAGTTGTTTTATTGACAAAAGAGGTAATCACCATTACAGAGATTGACTAGACCATTTGAGTGTAATATTCACATGTAATAATTACTAACTTGTTTAAACTGTGTTAAACCCTCTTTAGTCATCGTCCTCGGGTCTAACTCAATTTGATTCATGTCCTCTATGGCACAAAAAAGAAAAAACTTTAGTGAGAAAAACAATTCAACGGAAGAAGAAGTCAATACATAGACAAATAAAAATAAATGAAACATATATCTGTAGCAGCAAACTCTCTCAAATGAAACATCAGGAAACATATCTCGCTTTTTAAAAGTTTGCAGGAATTGAAACTGAATGTACCAAGAGATAGCTCATTCTCTCCTTAATGCACTAAGTTTTTGATACGTCGGCCGGATTTAATTTAAATAGTAAGACTCTGGCACCAACAAGAAATGAAATGAAATGAAATGAAATGAATGAATGAATGAATGAAATGAAAAACTTTATTCATGTGTCAAAAGATCTAGCGTACGGAAATCCATACGCTAATCGGGACACCTAATTTTAAAGAGAGGATAGCAATCATTAGAAGCTTTAGTCGCGTTCCTAATCAGGGCCGCTTATTTTTTCTTAACATTTTTAATATTTCAGTGGTTTATTTTTGGATTCACAGGCTTGTTTGCTTTTCTGAGGGCTGCACGCTCATAGCGTCTTGTTGTTGTTAGTACTTTGTTAGTTTACCGTATACTCACTTCTTGATCTTTCATATGTCGAATACTTGTATGTTTTGACGGGAAAAGGTGCGGTTTGTTTAATACAGTAAGTTAAATTATTGATACCTGTTTCCGTCGAATTATTTTCAGGGAATCGAGGGGCTCTCTCCTCCGGGGAAGCCATGGATTTGAGCAGAAATTACTCCTTTACCATTTTTCTATAAAAAAATCGTTAACTGAGATTCCGTTACACCCGCTCACGCGACGACACGCGTCTCGCGCGTGCTGTTGACCACCACACCAAGCAGTCAGCAGTCAGCGGTTAACTGTAGGAGTTTTCAAGATGGCGGTTTTAGGAGTGAAGCGGAAGAAAAGTTTAAAGAGTTTTATTTGTTTTGCCTTGTGAAAAGAAAGGTTCTTTCTTTAAGAGTGATAACAATGAAAACAAGTGGGTTTATACTTGCATTTGCGTTGATGTGGAGGTATTTTGTTTGCAGAACCAATGGAGGTAAGAGTAGCTAATAGTACTAGCTTTTTACACTAAAGTTTATTTCACATAGTTTTTCATTCTTCATCCCTATGACCAATTATAATAGTCGTAAGAAAACGAGAAACGTGTACTGGCTACTTTTTTTTTCACTTCGTCTCTTTGCTTGATACCATTGGAGTAAAACTTTACTAAAGGTACATTGTACATGGGGCAGATATTGTTGTCAAAGGCAGTCTACAATGTAGATGAAAGCTAAGCCAACAACTTGGTTGTCTTGTACACTTTAACTTGTCTTGCAACGATAAAAAAACGTTATCGCAAGAAAATTAGATAAATTAGTGCAAAAATACCCATACAGATTGTGTGCAACTTGACTGTAGCTTTGAAATAATGTTTCTAGCTGTTTCTACCTGCCATTTCGGTCATTTTTAATTGATTATACTGACCAGGGATGTCACTAAGATTTCAAGTTGCTGGGTAACTACAACAAATAGGCAGGGAAAAAAACAGCTAGGGATTTCTTTGGTTCTATTTTTCTTCTATTTTCCAATGAAAGTAGCTGAAGACCACATTCATAGTAGCCGGTGGAAATCCTCTGCCCCCACCTCTTAATGCATATATACCAACTCTCCCAGATTATCCTGGAGTCTCCCGGATACAGCACTGATCTCCTGCTCTCCCATATGGGTCCCCAAAATCTCCATAAAATGGTCTTTTGAGCTTTTCTGTGCTTTAATGTGAAATTTAGCCCATTTTTTTTCGAAAATGCAATTTTTTTTTAACTCTTTTGTACGGTTTCAGGACATTTACACATATTTAGACACTGACAAAGATTATTTCATCATTATAATTATGAAAGCAAATTTTGAGAGCACCTACTTCACGTAAGACTTCATATTATAATGTCCTAAGCCATGGTGGCTGGGTCAATTTGTGGGAAGGTTGTGGGGTGGGGGGTGGTGAAGCTGTTGACATTTGGGAGGGAGAGAGGGGGGGGGTGTTAGTGCAAAATAAAGAGTCTACAGATTTTAGATGTCCGCAGGTTGGCATCTCTGTTAATAACAGTCCTGACGTGACTACTTTGATTCTTGATAAAATGTTGTTTTAATTTAGCGGTGGTGAATATCAACTTAGCTGGATTCCAGGATGGTGTACTTAATGTGCCCCAAAACAATGAGTTTGGAGAAATACAAGTAGATTTAACAGAGGCAGTGACATCAGTACAGGTTAGCTTATAATGTTGAGTAAAAATTCTTTCACTTGCTGGGAAGAGGAAGGCACCTTTTGCCTGTATTGTTAACAATGTTATTGTTGGATGAGGCTGAGGATGAAACCAAGAATTTCATAGATTGAGGAGGGTGTTATCTGCCTAGGACAAAGGCAGATAGCACCCTTCAGGACTTTGCCTAAGTAGTGATAAAATTTATCAAGTGTAAACAAGATTAATTCATTGACCCATGTATTTGCTACTTAACAACCAGGCCACAGTTGTTTGCAGCTCTTTGGAAACAGGTCCTGGAATAACAGCTGTAGAGTTTACGAATGTCTCAGCTCCAGTTGGTACAACACAAGTGGATGTTTCATTTAGGTATGCAATTTCTGTCCACCCCTAAGTGGACAGAAACCCTACACATATATGATTTTGTTTCAACAATACTGGTATATTGGGCAGTTTGTGCTAAATACAGTGACGTGAACACATACACTCATACCTTCTATGTGACAGTTGCTCTTACATGTACAAGCTGTTTTTTAAAAGTTTGATTCTTACCACCATGCTGTGGTAATATTAATATAAAAAAGTAGTTTACCCTGTGTAATTTGTAAGTTCATTAGCCTTACTTGCCAAGCTTTGGTTGACAGTTGGCCATAAAATAATTTTGTTTGAAATAAAATGTAATTCAGGATTGTACCATTTATCTTCGAATGTCAAAAACTGATTCAAAAATACGGTCAACTCTCTCTAAGACAGACATCTTTGGGACTGGCATTAAGTCCGTCTTAGAGAGGTGTCCGTCTTATAGGGAGTCAAAGAAAAGGAGTAAAAAGGCAGGGACCAACTCTTAAGTGTCCGTTTTTACAGAGGTGTTCGTCTTATAGAGGTGTCCGTCAAGAGAGAGTCGACTGTACTGCACACACTCTAAGACAGACACCTATGAAACTGGCACTCTGTGTCCATCTGAGCGAGATGTCCTTCTCACAAATTGTCAATAAAAAAGAGTATAGAAAAGACAGGGACCAACTCTAGATGTCCATTTTAGCAAGGTGTCTACCTCATAAAGATTCAACTAAAAGGTCTAAACAAAGTAAAGATTTAGGCTGGGACCATCTCCAGGTGTCTGTTTTAGCAAGGGGTATATTTAAAAGAGTCAACTAAATGGAGTAAAGAGAGGCAGAGTGTTCGGTTAAGCAGTTTGTCCATCTTATAGAGGTGTGCCTTTTAGAAAGAGTTGGCTGTAATAGCTACTGATTCAGGACAAATTTCTAAAGTTAAGGTGGTGGCTCACTTATTGCTTAGTACATTACTGTATGCACAGGCTGCTTTACATTAATTATTAACCCCCGTCATCCTCCTCTTCATGGCTAAAGTGACTTCCCTTGGATGCCCTATGCGTTTTTTAAAAGGTAACTTGACATAATTTATTTTGTACTTTTTACACGCATACAGGATCATATCCCCAGGTAGACCTGTTACAATCCAGTGTTCAGCCCAGAGTGCAGGAAGCAATCCACAGTTTACATTACCAGGATCTAAAGGAAACAATGGGTGATTAAGACACTAAATATAGTTTCCCTAAAATATGTCCTTAACCCTTTAAACACTGTGAATATCAAAATCAAAATTCTCATTTGGTGCCCCTGTACATTTTTACTGAAGAAGTGGGGAGAAGTTGTTGAAGTATCAACTTATTATTTTTGTTGTGATCATGTCCTTAACTCTTGTCACCATTCCATTTAAAAAGGGTTGATTTTACAAGGAGAAATTTGATGCTGATCACTCTTAGAGCTTATGTGCATGCAAGGTTGAGATCACCTTTACCCGCAGCCATGTTAAAATCTATCAGAGAACATGATGTGACTTTGATATACATGTACATGATGTAATGAGCCTCACCATGCCTGCATTATATGTATATGTAACTTCTACTCTATTGTTTTTAACTCATTGATTCCAGAAGGCTATCAATGAATTTTTGTAGGTGTTAAGGTCAAATTGGATATTTTCAGGTTAAAAGTTAACCTAGGTTGACTCTCAATTTCCTTTGTTCACTCTGGCTAGAAGAAAATGGAAATTGAGAATCAAACTACGTGTAGGTTAAAACCAAAGATATTATTCAGGTTAAAGATATAACCTGAAATCAAATTTGATGTGTAAGATAAGCACTTCGATATGCAATTGTGTGACTCAGTCACAACATAGACGCATACACTGTATTTTAGTCATAATTAGTCAGCTCCAAAAAGAGACGGTCCGATTGGAAAAGTCTGTAGCAGATCCATTGAATGCTCACCGAAACTTTTCATCACATTTTTATGTTGTGACTGGAGACAATATCATGAGACAAAATGGAATTTGTGTGTTCTCTGTGACTGTAATGTGGTATTTGAATGGTCATGTCATGAAGTGGACCCAAATAACTTTTGCCCATGGATACACTAAGACTGTTTTGCTTTAGTTTAAGCATTAAAGTTCACAGTCAGTGAGTTGCCCCAAAATAAATGCCTGTCTTACTCAGTAACCTTATAATGCAAATGTCAGTCAGGAATATTTTAAGTGGAAGTACATGTTAGAGTCAAGACTTGACCATCCACCTCTCATTTATGTTCCGTCTTACTTATTTGCTATCAATGGATTTGATTATTGGTAATAATGCATTTTTTTTAGCAGCTCACTTCACCCCTGTTACATGTACATGTATCTCAAGATGCCTGATGTGAAGTACATGTACTTGTAAGAGGGCTTTTATGACATTTAAATTACTATTAATATCTGTACATGATGAGCTTTTATAGGTTTATGAACTCTGCTTACAATGTTTATTATTTTAAAAGTATGACTTTTCTTTAAGTGTTTAATTCTTTTCTCAGGTCCTTGCGTGTCATTAAAGCACCAACAGTTCACATTTGTCCTGATGTCATCTTAGTTCACAAGTATCTACTTAAGTCAACTGTTCAAGTGCTGTTCAGGTGCTGTTGTTTATAAATATAAGCTACTTGATTTATTTTGATAAAAGTTAAGGTTAAGGGTTTTCTTATTGGGGAAATGGCACTTAGCTTTAATACCAAGCTATAGCTTACAGGCAGTTCTCTCAAATACTCAGAAACAAGTAATTCAGATATAACATAACAGGATTAAAAAACCTCAACTGGCAGGAGGAAAACCAGTTCGCTATTACATGCGTGGCTGAGGATTTGAACTCGAGAGGATGGAGATCAAACCCGCAAGTGACCAGAGTTGAACTCCGAATCTGGGACCACTGGATTGTGAATCCGACTTGCTGACCACTCAGCCACACTGGCTCCATTTTAAACCAAACACTTAACATGGCATTTTAAGAAGGTTTATCACAAGTTATTATTATTTTCTTTTCAAAAGAAGTAATTAATAATATTATGATTTAGGTAGGATCACTTCTCAGGTTACAGTCAAGCCAGGTCAAATGTACAGTGTGCCCCCCAAGATTCCATGAATGGATTTATTTTCCAAAGGTTGAAACCATTGTTAGTTGAAGATCTTAGATTCATCTCTGCATTCCTACATGCATGATAAGCAATGAATTCACATGCGAGGTAGTCATGAAATTTCTACCAGCTCAATTTCCATGGATTTGGTGGAAATGTCTTCAAAGCAATTTTGTCCATTCAAAGATTATTCAATCTCACCGACTACAGAGAAGTTATTGTAAAAAACATTCACTGCTCATCATGCATGCAGAATTTGAAACTGGTTTTGGCAACAACTAATGGATTCATTTTTCAAATAATTCATTAATGGAATATTGGGGAGGGGAGGGGTGGTGGGTAATTGCGTGACCTGTCTTCACAGTACTGTAAACCAGTACTCAACCTAGCTTGTTCTGGTATTTTCTTTGTTGTGTTTTCTGGGCCTAATTACACAATGAAGGCAAGGGAAATTCTGCTATAATCTTAGATTGGAATTTACCTGCAACATGTATCATTCAATATTAAAGTCAATTGTTGTTATTTGTTGCACAGTGAAAGGATACAACAGTTTGTGGTCAAAGTGAAATGTTCTGTAGTTGAACCAGAGCCTGGTTAGTCCATCATATCATTTAATAATAACAAAATCTTTACCTAGACCCTCTGCATAATTATGTGAACAATGTAAAAGTATCATAATTACAGATTAGTTCTCATTTAGTTCAGGATGGCATGTATAATATATGCAGCATGTTATCTGACATGTTGATGGTCATGGAGTTGTGGTTGCTGCAGACCATTGACCAATAGCTGACAGATACTGGGTTAACACCCTGGATGATACATGTATCTGGACAGATTTTAAGCAAGGAAAGAAGGTCAATGTCTCGCTCAAGGGACTAGATCATGGTCAGTCCAATACTGTACACTTTTGTACAGTAACCCTCATGGGCCCCTGAGTGGGCCATTTAAGCTGAGACTCTGCCATTACTTGTCTGTGTAATTCACATGCTTGGCCTAAGATGGACGCTTCTTAGTTTCCCACATTCCCAGTTGAATGCTGACTGTCAGGAAAAAAAATGAACGGATAGGAGAACTAGCCAAATTAGCATTTATAACTAGTCAGTAGTAGTACGCCAATATTAATAGGACAAATCAACTTAACAGAACAAATATTAGATCTAAGCTTCTTTCTCAAAGAAAGAGGTACAGTTTCTGCTTTGCTTTACTGACTAAGATGTAATGGTACAATTTAAATTGTACCATTAAACTTTTTTTAAAAAAAGGTATATTTTGATCCTTTTTTTATGATTCTGTATGTCTAGGTGGTCCATCAGTGTTGCAGTTAAGATTTACAGAAACTAGTGTGACTCCTGATGTCATTGAAACCCAGGTACCACTTGTTTTATGGTGGCTCACAATGATTGCTGAATTTTTTTAGCAATTCCCTGATATGTGGATAATACTTCCCCTCTTTTAACCGCAGTAGGATTCAGTGCTCAGTCGGTAAAGCACTGGACTGCAAAGCGGGAGGTCATGGGTTCGATTCCCAGGGCTGCACCACTACCCAGGGTCTTAAAAAAATTGAGAAATTAAATTGCTGCTTTTGCCTAGCAAATGGTTAGACCTTTGTTTGGCTCAGATAGCCATGTAAAATGGTGGTCCTGTCTCTGGAAGGAGACATTATGATAATAATAGTGTGCCCAATTAGTACTTTTGTGCTAAATACATTGACACTCAATTATGAAGGTGCATCTTTTTTTCCAAATGACGTAACAACAACTGCATCAAACAAATGCCCAGTCACTAGTAGACATGACACCGTCACATTCTTGGTGCACAAAATTCCCATGGCAGTGGTAAACTTAAAAATGCTGCTAACTCAAAATCGAAAATGGGTTTGCTAAGGATGTCTATGACAAACTGTTCCTGTTCTGGCAACCTAAAAAATGTCAACAAACTTTACATGATATTTGTTCACCAATAAAGGGGTGGAATCCTGATGCAATGAGGCACCCGGAGACTGGGGAAATGTGTTCCTTGGTGTGTTATATCAAGGTCCTCTTCCTTACATTTTACCGTAGCTGGGGCAAAGAAAATCATTGTATACTGGGAGTTCGTTTTATTTTCTAGGGCTTCATTTTATCAAGGTTCCACCTTGAGGGGGTAATTTTGAAACATATCATTGATTTACCATTAAAGTGAAAGTACTAAAAGATGCTCAAAAGGGAGATATAAATACTTGAGGAAATAAGGTCTTTGGTTTTGTATCCCAGCAATTAAATTTTCCTTCTTTCCTGTCTGATTCAAGTAACCGATCAACTGGCTTTTCGTTCAACTGTTGTAGGTTTCGTATGAGATTGTTGCACTTGGGGCTCCTGTGCAAGTGGTCTGTAGTGCACAGTCGACCAACCTTACTGCAATCCCAGCACCACTGAACGCTCCAATTCCAACACCCTCAACTCATCAGCTATCAAGCAGTGTGAATCAGACATCTGTATCAGCCACAAGTGTAAATGCATCTGCATCAGTTATTGGAGGTAGTTCGAAGAGGAGGCGAAGAAGAAGCATCCTTTCTAGTAACAGGACAGTACTTCAGTATCAGTTTAGCACTTCAGCAGGTAATGCAAGTAACTCAAACTGAATCCTGTCAGGTTGCCACCAGACTATCTCGCCACCAACTAAATCGCTAACAAGAGGTCGATTCACTGCCAACCAACTCGCCACCAAGACTAGTAACTCTAAATACCAAGGATTATACCTTAAATCCTCTATTTAAGCCCCTCGGGAGCTTATTTATTTCAAGCCCATTTGAGGGGGCTTAATAGAGATGGGGGCTTACTTGAGAGGGGTGGGTTTTTTTTTTTAAATTTAGAAATGACAATGGTATCAGTTCTCCATAAAGAACTAGAATCAAGTACAAGAAGTTTTAGGTCATACAGCCGAGGATCAGAATCAAATGCGATCTTCCAGTTGGTGAATAAATCATCCCAGATCAGTCCAAACGAAGTTTTACAGTCGTGGTTGATTAATATAGGCTATCAATTATTAGTGAAGAATAAATGTGGGAGGGAAGGGGGGGGCTTAATAGAGAGGGGAGGCTTATTAACTTTCTTCCCCTTAAAAGGGGAAGGCTTATTTGAGAGGCGGGGGGTGGGGGAGGCGTAATAGAGGATTTACGGTAAGACAGTACGGACCGGTTTCCATTTAATAACATGTTTAGTTCTTTCTTAAGTTAAGTTGACCCTAATTGAAACATGCGTCGAACTTCCCATGTTCTTACTGACATAATGCAATACTGACATGATAGATTCAACTTTTAAGATGTGAGGTGAAAGTATCAAACATCGCGGCGGATGTGCTTAACGAAGGTATAAAAATATTATATGGAAACCGATTATATGGATTTCGCGTTATATCAGCTTAAGTCCTTGGTAAGTGGGTCAGTTATAGGGGGTATTAGTCTTGGTGGCGAGTTGGTTGAAAGCCAGTCCACTTCTTGTGGCGATTCCGTCGGTGACGGAATGGGGGCGAGATGACCGTAAATCATATCATAAGTGACCCAGGTGACACCCAGAAGGGTACTTAAGGCAACTTTTGCTGGGTAATACCACTACTTTGTGGCCTTATAATGTTCCAACTCCATTACACTCTATGGAGAGCTTGCTCGCAGGTTATAGCCTTTACTACCTCGTTCCCCTGGTCCCACGGACTCCTGCACCGAGAGAGAGGGAGACAAGGAGAGGACCCTGGGAACGAAGTTGTAGCCAATAAAATTGTAGACCCTGTCTAAGTCCGGTTTTTGCAGATTGTTGATCTCAGCTTTGTTTTCAAAATGTGCGACGCCAGCTTTAGACAAAGAAGTATTTTTTTCCTTTTTTCTACAGGGCCTCCTGTAACGTTCGCTCTGGACGTGTCTCCTCTGCGGATTATACCACGAGCTGGCTTTCTCCGGGCACCTAACGGCAGTTTCAGCGGAGTCCTGGCACTAGACCAACCAGCTGACAACACTGTGGACATCACGTGTTCTCTAGACACGGTGTCGCCTGGGGCCGACTTAAGTAATACTTCAGGGCTGTGTTCCAATGCGCCAACAGATAAATTGACATTTGCAAACAGTACTGTGGAGATAAAACTCGACACTGTTACAATTGAGTTCCAGGTCAGATTTACTGTAGAGATTTGAAAAATTACATCTTTGTTGACTATTATACTTTGTTAACTTCGAATTTTAACAGGACGAAGCGCAATTAGTTTTCGTCTTTTAAACTATACAAACAAAGTGTAGATTGCGAGTCATTTCTTACAATAAGCCCTACTAGGGAGTTTTTGCAACAATGAGACAACAGCAGAAACGTCAGTATAAAAAATTAGTTCGCGTTTTGTGAATCTTGGTGATTCTGATTTAAAAGTGACAAACCTAGGTGAATTTTCCGGGAGTTGAATTCTCGGGACCACTCCCTAGTTAAGAAAGAGAAAAAAATATTCTTCGTTTTGTGTTTACATACGTCCTCTACAAGACCTCTCACAAGGCGGTATTTTCACGTCTTCGTTGTGCAGTGAGCAAAATTATGTGATGCATGTGCCAAATTGTTATTTGTCCATTTCATTTACGGTATTGCCGCTTTGTCGTGATTGCTAGAACCAACTAATTTTGTAAGGGGGCGGTGAAACTGTCGGCATAGTCTACATGCAGCTCCACCCTCCCCCTGAAAAAAGAAAAATGGTGAGAGTTCCCGATTGTAGTTTTGCTTATTCGGATGCACCTTAGGGAGGTGGGGAGAGGGCACGGAGGCTGGGTGCGGCTACTTGTAGGCTTTATTTCGTAGAAGTGGCAGAACATGTGGGCATCGCCGCTTTTAGTGAGTACAGTATGGGTGATAATTCCTTCAGCACCTTGCTAACCGTTTAGGCAAAAAAATTGGACAATTTTTTTTTTCTTATCAACGGAAGAGAACGCTATTACATATCTGTAGTTTAAAGAACTTCCGAAACAATATCAGTAACCAGTGGTTCCGAGTGGAGAGCGTTATCCAGTGAATGAATATATTTCAAATCCACTGGATAACGCTTTGATCTTGCCAAATAGATAGTGTTTCATCACAGGCATCCCAAATTCACGTTACGAGGGTGGAATGTAATTTCTGTTGACGCGAACGAGCTGTTTTTACGTTACAAGCGATCGTTGAGACGTTGTATGAGAACTAAAATACTGAGATCTGCGAAATACAACAAAGATAAATCTTCTTTATGTAGTTTATTGATCAAAAGGTAAAATACAGCGATATTTATTGTTCGCAGTCCATAGTATTTTACGTCTCAAAGATCGCTTGTAACGCAAAACCAACGCGCTCACGTCAACAGAAGTTGCATTCCACCCTCGTAACGCGAGTTGAGGATGCCTGTGGTTTTATTCATTTTAAATACAGTAGAACCTCGATAACTCGAACTCGGATAACTCGAATTCCCCGCTAACTCGAACTGATATAAATTTCCTTTCCCTTGATGAAAACTTCACCTAAATTTACCCCGATAACTCGAATTCCCCGCTAACTCGAACTGTTTTACGTTTCCCTTCAGAGTTCGAGTTACCAGGATTCTACTGTTAACCATTAGCAACTGTGGCTTGGAGAATCTCTCATTATAAATTTAGGATGTTGCAATAGGCCATTTTCGCGATGACGATATTTGCCTACAACTACCAGAATTCATTTCGTTTTTGCTTTGTTATTTAAATTTGTCAATCCCGCTGAGGATTAAAGAACAATAGTCCTAATTTGCACAAGAAAACAACAAACTGAAGGATTCTGGTAGTTGTAGTGAAATGACGTCATCGTGCAATTGTCCTATTGTTGTTTTCTAACTTATGCTTATCGTGACGAACTTCCTTTAGATTAATGAGTTGTTTAAGAACATAAAGCTGACGTTGAGTGGAAGCCCTGCTTGGCGCACAGAGGACGTGGTGCGAGTCTCTTGTTGTGGTCGGGATACAAGTTTGAGTCTTCGATACGTCAACGAGACAGCGGTAGCTATCATCTGGGTTGAAATTCGAAAGTTACAACCAGTGGACTGGAACAGTATCACAAGTAAGAAATGGGAGCGCCGCGAAGAAAGAAAGAAAACTGTTTTTAGCTTTATTGGCAAACTTGGCTCAACTATTTTAACGTGAATCGGGAACTTGTAAATAGATGAATAGACGGTTTGCAGTTTTGTGTTTTAGACAACTTACATCCCAAAATGTTTTCCCTAAAGTGCAGTTTGAGCTTTTGTTTGTTAATTCTCTAGACGCAGAAAGAAAACAAAATAACCGAACATAGCATAAAAGTAAACATGACATCCTTTAGACAGAAAAAATAACTTTAGAGTATGCACCAGGGTAAATTCAGGCATATTGCTTTGGTGTACTGTGAATAATTTTGAAACAATCATGGTTTTATTTTTGCCTAGGTGGTCAAAGGAAGGCTACACTTGTGTCTGATATAGATTTGTCGTGTCCCTGCAACTTAAAGGAGAACTCCTGCGATACAGGTTGTTGTTGTGATCAGGTATGAGTGCTTCACACTGTCTTCTAGAATAACAAATAACTACAGGTAGAAACAAAAGGGAAAGGCAACCATAGGAGCACTGCTAAAGGGTGACTGGGGGCGCTTAATAGAGGTGGCAGTTCTAATACCTTAAATGCAGTGTTTTTATGGGCGGAAAATCAAGCTTGCCCAATGGGAAAGGTCCAGGCAAGTCATGAACAAAGACGAGCAAGAGGTGATCCCAGGCAAGCCAAATGTGAGAGCGGCTTGCCCAAAGGACAAGCTGGACTTTAATTTATTTTTGAGCCGTGCTAGGTGGTTCATGTTCAGGTTCCACTGTACTTTCTTTATTTCACCTGTCTTTTCTTTGTTTGCTATGGCACCGTACCTGATCATTGTCCAGTTAATAAATTGTTTATCAATTCGAAATGTCGCATGCTTATTGCTTTTTACGTCGTGGCCAGAGGGCTTTGTTATATAACTTCAAATAGCATTTTCTACTTATTTAAGTGATTGCTTGAATGTGTATTCTCTCTTAAGGATTGTAGTGACTTTGAAAACGAGACGGCCAATTGCATCCCAGGATTCTTTGGTGGTGCTACCTCAGAGAGACCTTTCGAATTTAGTTGCCAAGCCTCCTGGCCTGACGCAAGGGACTGGCAACCATTCCTCTGTGTTGCCATTAACAACAGTCCATTTACTGGCTATTTTTACAATCTCACCAGTCCTTCTCTAGCTCAGGACCCGGCATCGTTTAACGCGCTTGCGAGGAATAAGAAAAGGGAAAGTTTTACGTTTGTGGAGAGCGAAGAACGTCGAACCACAATCTCGAGTGGGTTGTACACAGTGGGAACAAGTGTGAAAACAGCTGCTAACGCTGAAGATGTAAACTATGTTAGAGCCACAGTGGGCGTGTTGAGTCTACCGCAGACTGTATTCAATGGTTTGTGCTCCCAGGACGTACCCGTTAGATTTCTGGAACAAGTTTCCTCTCGCTGTGTTCTTGAGTTGGAAGAGTCTCTTTGTAACTCCCAGTCGCCGTGGAGTGCTTTGAATTATTTGATGCCCATTCAACTCAATCGCCGCACGTGCGTACTACCACCCTCTGTTCTGGCACAAGGACGGCTCAACGAAACGGGAGGGCCTCCTGAGCTTGCCACAACAGACGTACGATATTATTGTACGGATATCGCGGCTTTTGTTTCCGCTGCAGCTCAGGAAGCCGAAAACTCGCTCACTAATAACTCTTCTTCGTTATTTGAGAGCAGCGCGCAGGAAAGAGCAGATCCCACGAGGTGTGCTTTTGATGATGGAGAAACGCTACCACCAGCACCAGTCTTTAACAAAACAACGAGGTTATGCGCAAATGTAGTGGTCAAAGTTGAATACGAGTTTGAATGGCGTGACAGGAGGATTGACGCGGTGAAAACAAGAGTCACGCTTGGAAATGTTCAAATTCCTGCAGTTAAAACAAATACCGGTCTTGTCACTTCTACCGATGTTATCAACACCCTAAGCCAGAGCTTTTCTGTAAATTTCACCCATTCACCGCTCCTGAATTCTTCAAACGTCCGCGAGGCTCCTTTTCAGCGGTCAGGGAATCCAGGCTACCTGCTCGGTCGACCAGTGTTGAGTCGCCTGGAAAACAGTTCGGGACAAGTGAGTTGTAGAACGCTTTGTTGCCTTCGCTGGTTTATACATTCAAGGAATAATGGTGACAATATTGAGCTGTTTACGAAGATGGCGGCGATGACGTAACGATGATGATGATGATGATGGAAATTACTGATAGTAATGATCATATGAGTAACATAAAGAGTCGCATGGAATATAGTTCTACCCTTTAATTTTGTTTGACCATTGAAGTGAAGCTTCTTCCGCCGTACTTTACTGAGCACGATACCCTGACTGTTTTATTTCCCCTTAAATTTGGACTTTTTTTAACTCTTGGAATGAAAGGGTTAAATTTTGTTGCTCTTTTTTGAGAGAGTTTCTTGTAAGAATAGGGCAAAACTACTTTGCTAGCTTAATGTCACAACGATTGGGCAGAACCGCCCTCCTCTGATTGGATAGGAACGAAAGAAGGGAAATGAGAGATCAATGTAGCCTGAAAAACAGCCGACATTTCGGGGCCCCCTCCACTGGCTTCCCAAACGTCTGAAAAATACCTCAGAAATTCCATGCTGATGACGCGTCACTACCCAGATATGGGTAATGTTTCTGATAGGTTGAAAATTTGTTTCATCCAATCAGAAAAACTACCGAGATCTGGATAGTGAGGCGTCATCAGTATGGAATTTTTGCGGTCGTTTCTTAGACGTCTGGGAAACCAGTGGTGGCGAAGATCAATGTTGCGTATCAAATAACCAGTTACTGATATTGATGAACTTTTTTTATCTTGTTTAACTTGTTGCAGCACTCTAACGTCTTGTTTACCTTGTTAGGTTATCGCTGGCAAACTCCAAGTTTGGTCCCCAGGCCATGATAGTCTATGCGCGGGATCCACGTTTACCCCTATCCTTTATGGCGAGGATGCGTTTTCCGGTTGTTTATTGCGGTTATCCTTTGAGGACATGCGCAACTGCTCCTATTTAAGAGAAATGGTTCTAATTAACCAGAATCGCCTGATCCAAGCCACACATGTTGGTCGCAGTGGTAATGCAAACCTTAGCGTCCTCGCTGATTGGCTGCCTGTAATAAGGTAAGGTATTTAAGAATCCGTAACTTTTTTAAGTCTTTGAACCAACCGCAGTTAACCCTTTAAGGCTAGATAGTGACCAATATCAATTTTCTCCTAACAATATCTATACATTGTCAAGAAATAAAGCTATGAGAATCAATAAAATGATCATCAAAGAGAAAATGCTTTGATCATTTATGAAATTCTCTCAACACACTTATTATGGAAAAGTATTGAGATCAGTTTGGAGAATTTGTATGTGGATATTGGGGCTTAAAGGGTTAACAGACCATTTCCGAGTTGCCCCAAGCCTCTGTTTCAAGGCGAGACTAAGTGCGAAGCTGTTGATATGGAAATGAACTCATTTTCTCAAGATAGATTTTGCACTCAGCCTCCCTTTAAAAGTGAGAGTTTTTGGAGCTCGGACATGGCGAATTGTCTAAACATGCTGAAGAGAAGTCAAAATTATGTCACCGTCGTCCAGTCGTTACTCCAGAGAATCTACACAAATTTATTTTGAGCTTCAGAAAGTATCTTTGAGCCAAGTTTTGTTTCATTTTGTGATTGTGGCCTAAGCAAATTCTCTGTGAGGCAACTAAGCGCCAAACAGTATTGTCTAAATGTTGTATTGTTGAAGTCAGTTCCGAAAGCTTTTAAATGTAGTTCGCTGGACTTGAATTGGTAAAACTACAATTAAGGCTCTTTTATTGAAGAAAATTTTGTTAATGCGGTTTGATACGTTTATAAATAATGATGAAAGTTATTGAAATCTTTTTATTTTTTGTTTTCCTTTGTTGTATTTAGAGAGCCAGTAAGCAATAATCCCGAATCCTCCTCGGGAGATGGAACTTGTCCCGGCATTCCTAGCGGAGTAATAATTGAGATGCTGGTGACGGATGCTGGGAAATACGGCGGCGTACCTCAGATGGAAATAGTGGGAACGAGAATCAAGTAAGAATTAGTGTGATTATACGTCGCCCGTTCAGTGTCTGTAATACCAACAAAGAGAAGGGAAAATAAAGAAATTCTCTCACAAAGACTCACAGTTTACGTTTCAACACACCACGAGTAGTCTCATTCTTCTTGACAGTTGAAAGGCGAACTCGAGATTTCTATTTCTTTCAAGCGATCACAAGAGCTCTTCGAGATGCCTCCAGAACGCTCCTCTTCGGTGGAAAGAATTTTCAACTGAGTTACTTTTTTTGTACGCATCCCGCGTTACCTTTCGGTCTCACCAAATTGTTTCAGAAAAACAAAGGTTGCACGTAGTTAAACGAAACTGTATTGTAGGAATAGTACTTTTACCTGAACCATGCAGTCTCTTTTAGTTCCACAAATTTGCGTGAAGTGGTTTGTAACTGGGCCGCCGCACTTGCTCATTTGCCCTTCTCGGATGATATGTATAATATAGCAGCGAAATGTGCAAACGACGAGAATGTTCGAAAATACTTTTGATATTTTGTCTCAGTTGAGCACGTTCATCGGCAGCTAAATTTCCCGCGTTGTCGTCTTACTTTCACTTATTGCACCTAATTTTTCTTGTTAGATTCCAGTTTAGCACGTGGCAGTTCAAATGTGTCAGTGGTGTAAGTTGTTCAGCCCCCAGTGATACTGATACAGACTTAACTCAGTTGGTACCCAGTCCCTCAGCTACTCCAGCAACCGCAGCTTCATCCACCGTCCTTGACACGTCACAAGCAACTATGTCACCCGTGGCTTTGAGTTCAGTACTTAACTCTAACTTGGTACATCCATCCCTCTTATCAGCAACTTCATCAACCAGTGGCTCAACAAACATCACAGATATCAACCCCAACTCTGTACTCCCTTCCCTCCGGCCAGCTACATCATCCAATGATAACGTAACAAACATGAAAGTGAGTTCTGGATCGAGCCCTACTGCCGCTCACTCATCTCTCCCGTCACCAACGGCGTCTTCATTATCTAGCCATCTCACTGTAAGTTCATCCGTCAGTCCTCCCGCAAGTGGTACGGAGAACACTAGGAACTACCCGCCTCACTTCCAATACTTTATGGTGACAAGCTCAGTTGTTTTCATTAAAGTGCCCGCCGTCAAATCACAGAGAGTTAAAAGGTCAGTCTATGCGCATGCGTTGAAACGACAGTCATGTTTCGTTTTTGTGTTCCATTTTTCATGGATTTAG